GGCTCTGCAAACATGAGTTACAATTTGCCCTGCACTGCTTAAACCCCTCCAGCACCGGCCACCACGCTTTTCTTATATCCTGGTCTTCAGTCAAACCTTGTTAAAAGGCACTGTGTTCTCTCTCACAAACATAATGCTGAATAAAAGAAGCCAGGACCCAATGTGTGGTTCCATTTATATAGAGCTCAAAATCTGGCAAAACTCATACATGGGAATTAGGATTGCTATCAGGACGCGGGTTGCTCCCGCAGAGGTGGGGACAGTAAATAGTAGTGGCACATCTGGGGATCCAGGACACTGAGGTTCTACGGCTGAAGCTGGCACTAGCTACGCAGGTGTGTTCAATTGAGGAAATTCATCAAGGCAATAAATTAGGATCTGTGCACGTATATTTTATGCCACAATGGATAAGAGTAATAAACTCTATCGCCTCGCTGTACTATGGAGAACAAAGGAAGCCATGTGCCCTCCACAAGGCGAGGTGGATCCTGGTGGAACACACAGGCCCAGTGGATGCAGGACCTCGGCAAGGTGGGGTGGAGGGGGGAAGTCAAGGGGCTCATTCTTGGACAAATGAGTGAGAATACCCAGGAATCTATGAGGAAATGGGGGGTTGGGGAGGAGGGAGACACCTCTGACAATCTGGCTGCTGGAGGTTCATACTTTAACTTGGGTATAAAAGAAAAGTATAATACAATGCCACTATAGTCCCGAACCGGTGGAGGGGCAGTACAGTCGCCGCATTCTGCTTTGATGTTGAGTAAAGATTTGGGGCAACTTGATAGCTACCTTTGTCCCAGTACTGCGTGCTAGGTGCTGTCCCAAACAATCTGCAGGTGTTAATCTCCCAGAACCACTGGGTAGCTGTCTCGTGGCTATTCCTGCTCTGCAGTCGTGTGACTTGTCTCAGCGCGCGGCGGGGCAGAAGTGGGTCTGAACACCACTGGATGACACTGCTTCCCAGAATTGAGGCAACCACAAACCAGAAACAGCAGGGGAAACCTAGGAGATGCTTCTTTTTAGAGATTGGTTATAAATATGTGCAAAGAAAAAAGAGACATATATTTCTTAGTATTTCTTGGAGGATGTTTTGCTAAAAAAAATGAAAAATGAAAAAGAAAAAAAAATCTAGGAGGGACAGCATTGGTGCAGCAGGTTATGCCACTGCCCACAACAATGGCATCACATATGAGTGCCAGTACAAGTCCCAGCTGCTCTGCTTCTAATCCAGCTCCCTGCTAATGCGCCTGGGAAGGCAGCAGCAGATGACCCAAGTGTTGGGCCCCTGCACCCGTGTGGGAGACCCAGATGGAGTTCCAGGCTCCTGGCTTCGACCTGGCCCAGCTCTGGCTGTTGAGGCCATTTGGGAAGTTAAACAGCAAATGGAAGATTACTTTAACTCTGCATTTCAACTAAATAAATCTTTAAAAAAAAATCTGCCAATGCTTTAATTTGCCTTTTATTTTTGGACAACTGCTGGAGACAGGATTCCTGGCTTGCTTCCAGACTTGCATCTCTCATCCCTCTGCTAATGGGCTGAGGTTTCTCAGAGACATTCGGCTGCTCTCCGACCCAGGAGCACGTAGCCTCCAGAGCTTCGTCTCTGACTGTGAACAGCCTAGGTTATGCCTGGGTGTGGCCCCCTTTGGCGTGTCCTACTTAGTTACTTGAACTTCCTTAATGTGTAACATTTTCCATGCCAGTGTGTGAGTGTTTGCCCATTATTTCATCCCCTTTCCTTTTCTGGAACTCCCATGTGTGCTGGTGCCCTGCCCATTTTTCTTCATTCTTGAAGTTCCTCAGAGTAGATCACCTCCATTGACGTAGTTTGTTGATTCTTTCCTCTCTCAGCTCAAATTTATTGCTGAACTCCCCTAGTGAATTTTGCATTCCCTTGACTTCAAACCCCAAAATTTCTATTATTATTTCTGTTAATTTTTCTTTATCAATAGCCTCAGTTATAGTGAAACATCCTTCTAATTTTCCTTTAATTCTTTATAGTTTTATTTTAAAACTTACATATAATAGCTGATTTATGATCTTGTTTTGCTTTAACTCCAACATCTGGACTTTTTTTTTTTAAAGATTTATTTATTTATTTGAAAGAGTTACACACAGAGAGAAGGAGAAGCAGAGAGAGAGAGAGAGAAAGAGAGAGAGAGAGAGAGGGAGAGAGAGAGAGAGAGAGAGAGAGGGGGGGGGAGAGGGAGAGAGAGAGAGAGAGAGAGAGAGAGAGGTCTTCTATCTACTGGTTCACTCCCCAATTGGCCGCAACGGCCAGGGCTGAGCCGATCCGAAGGCAGGAGCCAGAAGCTTCTTCCGGGTCTCCCACGTGGGTGCAGGGGCCCAAGGACTTGGGCCATCTTCTACTGCTTTTCCAGGCCATAGCAGAGGGCTGCATCGGAAGTGGAGCAGCCAGGACTTGAACTGGCGCCCATATGAGACGCTGGCACTGCAGGCAGCTGCTTTATCCGTGAAGCCACAGTGCTGGCCCCTATCTGGACTTTCTTAGAGACTGTTTCAGAATGCCCCCTAACCCCACTCCCCACGGACCCCTAGCCATGAATGGTCTATAGTTTACTATTTACTACTTATACCATTTTACTATTACATCTCTCATGATTTTGGAGTTGAAAACTAGACAGGTATTTGGCTACGATTAAGATCCCTGCATCCCATTCGCATTGGAGCGCCTGGGTTTGTTTTCCACCCCTGACTCCTGATTCTAGGTTCCTGGTAACACAAAGCTTGGCAGGCAGTGGCGATGGCTCAAGTAGCTGGGTTACTGCCAACGATGTAGATCTGGGCTGAGTTCCCAGATGTAGATCTGGATTGAAGGTGGTGGCCCAGCCAGACTTGTCATGGGGTAAGGAGTCAGTGGGTGAGAGTCTCTCTCTGCCTCTCAAACAAATTAAAATAATAAAAAAAAAGATATACAGTGTGGTAGCTCTGTAAACAAGACCCCTCTCCCTCCCTCTGGGCTTTGCTGTTGGGGAGGTTTGTTGTTGCTGCTTTTTGCTCAGCTTCTTGGATTAATTCTCTAAAAGGTGTGTCCTTTGTCATAGGCTGTCTCTGAAGTTTCACAGATTTCTGTATTCCGACCAGCTGGTTTCCCATGCTTGCTGAGGGGCTCCGTGTGCGTGTCACCGTTCACGGTGTGCCTTCGACTTTCCAGCAGGCAGCTTGCACCTCTGCCTTAGCCTTTGCTTCCTGCTTGCCCAGAATCACCACACCAACCAGTGACTAGACTGGGCGTCCTTATCAAACTCTCACTATTTTACTTATTTGAAAGGCAAGCATGCATTCACACACACAATCTTTCACCCACTGGTTCATCCCCAAATGACTGCAACAGCCAAGTCTGGGTCAGGCTCAAGCCAAGGGCCTGGAATTCAATCCAGGTCTTTCCTGTAAGTGGCAGGTGTACAGCCACTTGGACCATCACCTCCTACCTCTCAGGGTACACATTAGCAAAAGGCTGGTTTGGAAGGGGGCCAGGAACTCAATCCAGGTGTCCCAGGCGGGTGGCAGGAGACCAGCCTCCATCCAGGTGTCCCAGGCGGGTGGCAGGAGACCAGCCTCCATCCAGGTGTCCCAGGCGGGTGGCAGGAGACCAGCCTCCATCCAGGTGTCCAGGCGGGTGGCAGGAGACCAGCTACCTGAGCCATCAGTGCCGCACTAGCAGGAAGCTGGACTCACCAGTCGGAGTGGATACTGAAGTCAGGTACTGTGTGGAAGGAGACGCAGGCATCCCAACCATCATCCTAAATGCTAGGCCACATGCTTCCCCTTAGTACTATTCTGTATTATGCTCACCAGTACCTTTCATCTTCACTAAAAACTGTCAATAAGCGTCTCTGAGAGGAAATCCGTTCAAATCAATGAGTGGTACTTTTTATGGCCTGCCAAACTTTATGCGTCATTCACTTAACAGATACTTGGCTCATTAACTATGTGCCAAGAAAAGCCATCAGAAAACAAAAAATTACTCTCACATAAATTTTGCGAGTTTATGGCCTAGGCAGGAAAGTAAAAAAAAAAAAGTGCAACTACGTGGAGTGTGACAGCTCAGAGTCTGGTGCTGAGAGCTATGGCAGGAAGAGCAGATCTGGGTGGCGGTGCTGGTGAAGACACCTGAGGAAATCCCTGGAGGCTGGGAGGTGGGGTGGAGTGGAGTGGACGTTAGCCAGCTGATGGGAGCATGGGGGAGTCCGAGGAATGCAGAGGAAGATCCTGGAGCTGCAGCATAAGGGGAAGAGGTACAGTGGGAGGAAACATGGCTGGGGAGGTCTCAGGGCCTCGTGCCCCTGTCCTTGTTCTAAGAGCCATGGAAAACAGTGGGGTGACGAGTTAAGATCTGCGCACAGAATACGCGGCGGGAGGCAGGGAAGCAGGGGTAAAGGCTGAAGACCAGGCGCTGACTGCTGGAGAGCACAGTGGCTTGGCCTAAGACAACAGGTGCAGTGCAGATACTGTATTCCCAGAACTCAGGAGTCTGGGAGGAAGGCAGATGGAGGCTTCAGGTGCTCCCAGGCCTCCAGCACACAGACAGACGTTTGAGAAACCAGACAGGAAGTAAACAGTGTTAAATGCTGAGAGGCTAGGAGACAGCCGACGAAGGACCGGCTCAGGTCTACCCCATCATGAGGAATGGATTGAAACAGTGATGAACGCCTCTAGCGTTTCCCCCTCCATCCGCTCAAGCTTTGGACTCAGACAGCGGCAGCAGCTGGTCTCACTTCTGTAACCATGTGCTCTGGTTACAGTCTCGTTACAGTCCAGCTGTTGTACTCATCATTAACCCTCGAAGAGCTGTTCTCTAAACCCCAGTCTGAGGGGCTAGGCAGAGTCACACTGAGATGGGAACAAAAGAACTGTATCAAGTGATCTGATGGAATTCACACAACAAATACAAATAGGATACTGTACCTGTTTCCCAAATTATCTGGTCCCACACTAAAAATTTCATTTTTGAAAGACAAAGGAGAAACAAAACACAATTGAGCTAACATAAAAGTTTTATTGAATAAATACGTGCACTGTCATGTAAAATTAGTTGACCAAAAAAGACATTCTATAATTAAAAAAAAAAAAAAAACAACCCTCTGCTGTTCTCCATTTGCAGTGGGTGATCCAGCAAGAACTGGAATTAATGTAGCAATAAGTGCACAGCTATACACAATGATTCGCATTTGGCTTAGGTTCCTGAAAAAGGACTGACAGCTTGATAAAGAATATCTGTAAAAGGAATTAGAGTACAGAATATAAATTGTGGCAAATATAGCTACAAGGCTTCTTCTGTTTTAGTCTGACACTTGAAAACAACACCTTTGGACTTTAAGGCACAGGAAAAGCAACCCACACATACAAGCTAACAGAGCTGCACTTCCGATTTGTCTCAGTTAATTTTCCTCCATTGGTTTGGCTTAAAGTGACAAGTTAGAGTTCTCTTTTCCTAGATAAGTCGGTTATTAAAACTAAAAACTAGCATTTTGAGAACAACTTGAAAGTGTTTCACCATTAGGATCCTGGAGTGCTGAGAGTATGGCCTTGAAGGTAATTCTTAACCTTCCCCACACAACACAAAGGGAGGGCTCATCTGGGAGGGCTCCAGTGCCTTGGAGTCATCCCCTTTCCTTCCTTCTGTTCAGAGAGTGGAGACAGCCCCAGAGGTGGCTACCCACCACCTGCAGGGGGGAACCTTGTGTGCAACCCCTGAGAGGCCCTCCCAACCTCAGTGAGCCAGAGGTCAGTGCACTGTGCTACGAAACTGGCTTCCCGTGGGCTTCGTACCTGTAGTTGTGTTTGTCTTGCCTTTTTGCGTAAGTAAAGCATCCCTGTAAGTAGAATACACACTGAACAGATTAAGTAGAGGGGTGTAAAACCCAGATGTTTAGGATGCTGGTAAGTACTGGCATGATGAAATTCTAGCAAGTGTTTTTCTGCTTTTATAGATAGTGACTGCAGCCCTTCGAGAGACCTCATTAAAAAAAAAACAAAAACAAAAAAACACAAACCTTCAAAAAGTCCAACAGCATGGGTGAGCAGGTAGATTTGACAAGCTATTACTTGTCTTTCTCATGCTACTGAAATACCTTAAATGTTCTGTCTGCATACAGGTTCATATGTATGTGCAACAAATCCACCAACTTCCCCCTAGAATGATCAATGCTACACACTTATAGGAAATTATTTAGAAAGTGGCCTCAGGATAAAGTGCCATTAAACAGGAGACGGTGAGATTGTACTGGTCTTTATGATTAACATGAAATGCGTTGTGAAGCTATCAACAGCCTATAAATAAACGCATGGTTCAAAGTGTAAGCTATAAACTGAAACGAAGTGGAATCTGCTGCCAGGGAGGAGTGCAGAAACGACCACCAGCATCCACCATAGGCACTTTGGTATGTTTGGTCATAGGAGTGTCCCTCAGTTACTCATTGTGAAATGACGTAAGGTAACATCTCCAATTTCAGTTACAAAGCTACGTGTTCCCCGGTACGTGGATACATAGTTTAGAATGTTCTCATGGCTATTTTCATCACACAGCTTAAAATAGACACTTAAAAATCTTTCTGCATATGTGCGTGCTTTGTTTATAGACATGCATAGCTCACGACACTGCCATACAGCCTCACCTCACAAGAGGTTTGGGGTATTCTTAAGTATACAAGACATGCTGTTAGCAGTCTAAAAAGGAAAAAACAATTTCAAGATAAAAACTGTATAACCACACCCCATGATTAAAGTCAGTCATGGCTTAAAGTAGGGAATCCCATGAAGGGTGAAGGGTGACTTAAAACCAACAGCTGCGGAGCTGGTTGCTGGTCAAACCCCTGGGTTCTTGCAGGGGCCCGTGCATCGGCAGGATGACAGCACACCCCACTTCAAAGATGACACATCCTATGTATGAGGTACAACTAGGTTCTGCTCACTCTAGCAGGGGGGTGCATGAGCTATCAGTTTGTAGTGCAATATCCTACCCACTCGCCCGGACCCACTTCGCCTTCAGGACAACATCATGCAGCTCTCCTGGACTGGGAAGCACTAGAAATGAACACAGCCCATGACGACTAGGGCACAACAGCTTAATTGCCAACGTTGAAAGCCTGTTCCCCTCTATTTTAGGAAAAGTATAATGTGTGTATCTGTGCACTATTTCATGAATAAGTTACAATAACCAATTAAAAATAAACTTAAGACATTTCATTCTATGTAAGAAATATCAGATTAGTACATTAAGGTTTATAAACCATGACAGCTCTCTTAATCCTTTATATTACTCAGTTATTAAACATTTTCCTTAGAAGCCCTTCAACTGATTGCTCAATAATACATCTATATATTTATGAAAATGTTAATATTTTGAATACCTTATCATTCATAATGGGCAGAAATATACGAATATTAATAATCTTGAAGTTTTTCTATTTAGAAAGAAACACCACAAAATAGGTCACTGTCAGAACTTTTTGTTGCAAAGATGAAAATGATTATTTGTCACAAGAATTTAATAAGTTTTAGAAGAAAATATATATTTCCTTGATCCATTTTCTTCTGAATTCAAATCAGCATGTAGAGATTATAAAAAATAGAGTCTATTTACATGGCATAGTACACCTCAGTGATATACAAAACAAGGCAACAATAAAGCATGTACATATATACGTTTCCTTAGATACAGCTGACACAGTTTACATAACACAATTAACTACTACCCTATTGCACAATGTCATAACTGGTGAAATCATAAAGGAAATTTAACAAACAAAATTTCATGATCATGTTGGCCAGATTTGCCTCGTATGGCAACAGTTCTATAAAACTATTAAGGTATGTATAACTAAATACATGAAACTATAAAAATAATGTTGGTTTATCTGTGAGAGGGCTGTGTTCTGAGCAGAGGCGCGCGATGCGCCCAGGAGGGTGCCTCACGTCCGGTGTGGCTACGTGACCACCTGTGGTCTCCCCCCGTCTTCTGTGAGGTCATACCTGTGAGAGCACAGAAAGATGGTGACAGACACAGGGCAGGTTTGCAAAGGGGCCTGGCGTCCGCGAGGGGGTCTCTGTCTTTATTGTTGCATCTACCTGAGGTGGGGACACTCACCATTGGGTCCAGCCTTTGGCAAGGTCTTCAGATGCCAGAGCAACCAGCACCTGTGGATTATTAAAAAAATAAATAAATAAATAAAGTGGTTTGGGAAAGTAGGCTGAAGTACTTCCCTTAGATTGTCTACCACTTCCGATCTCTCTGATCTCCTCCTGTTCTACTCTAGCAATGTGGACCTCTGCTTTCCTGTGGCCCTCGTGTTTTGAGACTTCTTGCCCTACGATTCACCTATCAATGGTGTGGTAGATCTAAAAGACCCCTTTCGATCCAGCAATCTGAAAACCCAGCATGAACATCGGTGAGGCTGACAGGGGTCCGGGCTGAGCTGCCCACATTCACGGCGGCAGTGGCTGCTGACGGTGAGTAGCCTCCTGCTGCCGCCGCCACCGCCACCAAGCGTCATCCGACGTCAGAACTCCTCTGCCCTCGCTTAACCTGCATGACGCCACTGGGGAAGAAGAGTCTTATGCGAAAGTTAAATGTGACTATGGACCAAGACTAGAAGAAATTCAGAGCAACAAAATCAATGATTTGTCAGAAAAAGAACAGTGTAGTAGGTTGAAGAGGTAGAACTGTAAGAGAATGAGTTTCCTTTCTGTTTTCCTTCAATGTAATATTTGAACAAAAATCTAAAAAAAAAATCTATCTTTTCTCCACTAAGAGTTCATAGCTTTAGAGTGATTAAGAAGCCAGTAATAGGAACATGTGAAAACAATGACAACATCTGCAGACTACACCCACGGCTGAGCTGGACGCCCTCTCAGCCACTGTCTTATAAACACGCAGCCCGCGGGCTCTGCATTCCACATAGGCAGGTGTGATCTAGAAAGCCTGAAATTCAGCAAAATGCCTACTTGTTACAACGCGTAGGGTACAGTTAAGGATGTTTGAAAACTTACTTTGCCAAGAAGCCCTTTGTCTTTGGACAGGAAGCCGCCACTGTTCTTCACAGCCACGTCCAGGGTTCTCCTCTGCACTTCGGGTAACGAGACGCTGAAATCAAAGCTGAAGCACAACAGAATCCACTTCACTTCCTCGGTAATTTTCCTGTGCTTTTTTTTTTTTTTTTAAGATTTATTTACTTACTTGAAAGTGAGAGTTACAGAGAAGGAGGGAGGGACAGAGATCTTCCATCTGCTGTTTCCCTCTCCAAATGGCCACAATGATCTGGGCTGGTACAGACCGAACCCAGGAGCCTGGAGCTTCATCTGGGTCTCCCACATGGGTGCAGGGGCCCAAACACTTGGGGCCATCTTCTACTGCTTTCCCAGGCACATTAACAGGGAGCTGGATCAGAAGTGGAGCAGCAGGGACATGAACTGGCACCCACATGGGATGTCAGCATTGCAGGCTTTATCTGCAACGCCACAATGCTGGCCCCACACTTTCTTATAACTAAAAATGACATTTCTTCTCATGAGACTATTCCAAATGTTATTTTTATTGTAAAATTGAGCTCTTCTGGTTTTGATCTGGCATTTCATGAAGACTCAAAAGCAATTTTTTGCCTATTATTTCCAAAACAGAAGAGAAGACTCTGGCATGCTAGAAACATCTGGATCCCACTGTGCGTGGCTCCCTGCCTCTCGAGTGAGGAGTGTTTGGGCCTTGCGTGTCTGATTCTTCATGGGAGTCGCACTGTGGGACGGATTCCCAAATTCAGAGTAGTTTCCTTGCCTAGGCTTCAGGATTGCTCTTGCCTAATCTTTTTTTTTTTTTTTTTTTAAGATTTATTTTATTTATTTGAAAGACAGAGTTACAGAGAGAGGTAGAGGCAGAGAGAGAGAGGTCTTCCATCTGCTGGTTCACTCTCTAGATGGCCACAACGACCGGAGCTGAGCCGATCTGAAGCCAGGAGCCAGGAGCTTCCTCTGGGTCTCTGACATGGGTGCAGGGGCCCAAGGACCCGGGCCATCCTCCACTGCTTCCCCAGGCCACAGCAGAGAGCTGGATGGGAAGAGGAGCAGCCGGGTCTCGAACTGGCGCCCACGTGGGATGCCGGCGCTGCATCTTGCCTAGTCATTAGGCCATATCCTACTATCTCCAACTCAAAACAACTATCATGGACAGCAGCTTCACAGAAAGGAAAAGGTCCTCCGAGACCTAATTTTTTCTTAAATTTTTTTAGATAGAGAACTTGTATCTGCTGGTTCACTCCCAGATGCCTGCATTGGTTGGAGGAGGAGGGGCTGGAGCTAGCGCCAAGAACCAGAACCACAATTCAGGTTCCCCACGAGGGTGATGGCAACCCAAGCATGTGAGCCATCCCCTGCTGTCTTCCAGGGTGCACATTAGCAAGAAGTGGAATCAGGAGCAGAGCCTCGACGTGAACCCACACTCTCTCTGATGCAGGCATCCCGAGGACCATCTAACTGCCTGCCCCAAAATATATGTGTCCTTAGATTCTCAGTTTCAGTTTATGACACAGTAAGTCCCGGCAGCCATAACTCCCTAAATGGAAGTTCTTCAGGGCGACCAATAATCTGATCTTTATTTAACCACCAGCCTACCTGTCCACAGTTTACCTTTGGAATGTTTATTTTTATTACTTTTTTTTTAAAGATTTTATTTACTTATTTGAAATGCAGAGTTACAGAGAGGCAGAGGCAGAGAGAGAAATCTTCCATCCGCTGGTTCACTCCCCAGATGGCCACAATGGCTGGAGCTGGGACGATCAGGAGCTGGGAGCTTCTTCCAGGTGTAGGAGCCCAAGGACCTGGACCATCTTCTACTGCTTTCCCAGGTCACAGCACAGAGTTGGATGGGAAGTGGAGCAGCCAGGACACAAACTGGCGCCCATATGGGATGCCAGCACTGCAGGCAGTGGCTTTATCCGCTACGCCAAAGCACGGGCCCCCATTCGGATTTATTATGTTTAGCACTTTGACAAGAAATTTAGAATGCTTACTTATTTATCTTAACGAGTACATGTATACTAAAATGTGGAGTTTTTCACTTATATTTCTCAACAACGCATTGATTTATACACTTTAGTCACTCAAAGGTACCGCTTGGAGCTTTTTTAATTTATTTTACCCATGCCACCTCTTCTGAATGGAATGAAACATCGTACCTTTGATCAAACACTGGGTTTAATGTCTTCTTTGACACGTGCGTTTTCCTCCTTCCTGACCTCCTTTTGTCTGGTAATAAATACATGCGAACATATGGATCAGAGCCATCTTCAGAAAAGGCAATGAGGTTTCTGATAACACAAACCAGAGAAGATAGATGTTAGAGAATTAGCATCACACTCAAATGTACTTTATCAAGTTTGACTTTAAAGTCATCTAAACACCGAGAAGCCAAAAGGAGTATTAAATGAACAGCTAATACTGTGAAGCATTTTTTAAGATTTATTTATTTATTTGAGAGGCAGAGTTAGAGAGAGAGAAAGAGAGGGAGAGGCAGACAGAGAAGTCTTCCATCTACTGGTTCATTCCCCAAATGGCTGCAACTGCTCGAGCTGGGCAGATCCGAAGCCAGGAGCCAGGAGCCTCCTCCAGGTCTCCCATGTGGGTGCAAGGGCCCAAGCACTTGGGCCATTCTATGCTGCTCTCCCAGGCCACCAGCAGGGAGCTGGATTGGAAGAGGAAAAGCCAGGACTTGAACCGGCGCCCATATGGGATGCCAGTGCAGCAGGCGGAAGCGCAACCCACTAAGCCAAAGTACCAGCCCTGTGAGGCATATTTTTGCCTCCCCACATTAGCTGGCTGGCAACTCACATTTCTCTTTTACCAGCTTTTGCCAGAGGCAACTTTTGCCTCCATTTCTTGAGTCCAAGAACATTCTAAGTCCTCACTTGCTGCTTCTAGTATAGAAATTACTACGTTACCTTTCCATAATACTTCTGTTTCCTCCCAATAAGGGTACAGAAGGGGTCCACGGACACAAGGGGTTTTCGAAAAGTTCATGAAGAATGTGTATTATGAAAAATACTAGGCATAGATTTCAGCATTCTTTGCACCAAAAATAAATTATCTTTTAAATCTTTTTTTCCACAAACTTTTTTAAGTCCCTCATGTATTTTTTTTTTTTAAGATTTATTTCCTTATCTGAAAGGCAGAATGAGAGTGAGTGAGAGAGAGAGAGAGAGATAATGTTTTTCCATCTGCTGGTTTATTCCCAAAATGGCTGTAACAGCCAGAGGCTGCGCCAGGCTGAGCTAAGGGCCTGGAACTCCATCTGCATTTCCCATGTGGGGTGCAGGGGCCCAGGCACTTGGGCCATTGTCCACTGAGTTAGCAGGGAGCTGGATTGGAACAAGCATTGGATGGGGTACTAGCATTGTAGCTGGTGGCTTAACCTGTTGTGCCACAATGCCTGCCCCATATATTCTTCTTCTTTTTTTAAAAAAATTTATTTGACAGGCAGAGTTAGACAGTGAGAGAGAGAAACAGAAGGTCTTCCTTCCATTGGTTCACCCCCAAAATGGCCGCTAGGGCCGGCGCACTGCGCCGATCCAAAGCCAGGAGCCAAGTGGTTCTTCTTGGTCTCTCATGCGGGTGCAGGGCCCAAGCACTTGGGCCATCCTTCACTGCCTTCCCGGGCCACAGCAAAGAGCTGGACTGGAAGAGGAGCAACCGGGACTAGAACCTAGCGCCCATATGGGATGCCGGCACTGCAGGCGGAGGATTAACCAAGTGAGCCACGGCGCCGGCCCCTGCATTTATTTTCAATAATTCGAACAGTTCATCCTAGATTTTTAAGCTTTCTTGTTAGACTGAATTCTCACCAGTCTCTTGGGATCCTTGCCAACTGTGCTTTCTTCGGTACTTGGAGATAAAACCCATTCCTCCAAATACAGAAGTCAAGACAATTCGCAGATTCAGGCACACTGACTTCAGGCTCCGGTATGCTTTCTCAGTGGGGGAAGGGTATCCTTGTATTCCGTACGCTACTCAGGGGACCGGGCACGTGACAAATACTGGCACCCTTCAGCAGCGCCATTTGTAAGAGGCCTCACGCGATCAGTTTGGTAAGCCGAGAGGGAGGTGTTTTTTGGTCGTGTAACGTTCACGCTCAGCGTGATGCCCACATGTCGGCAGTGGCCGCTCACCTGCACGAGTGGACGACCACGATGAGCTTGTTTCTCTGTGAGCTGTGTCGGATGGTCAGCTGGATCTGCCCCAGCGGAGACTGCCCCAGCGTCGTCCCACTACGCAAACAAAGCAGAGGTACCAGCTCAAAAAAGCTGCGGTTCACTGGTGTGATGGACATGGTGAGAGAATTCAACTCATTTGGACAAAAAGGAATTCAGTTACCCAAGAACCTGAGCATAATTTGAAACTTCTGCATAAAGCTGAATTCAGATGTCACGTGAGGATTCGATATAACTTAATCATTCACACGGACGGCTTTGCATGGAGTGTGCCAAGTGGAAAAGAGATGCAGGGGTCTGCTCCATGCAGTTCTGTGGTCCCTGCTGGGCGGCTCCTGCCTGACGCCACCCATCTTTGTGTTCTTTCTCAGTCTGCTAAGCCGCCGTTGTGTTTTCATTCGGCAAGATCCCATCACCCCTTCCTCTAACTTCTCTTTGCTCAGGGTTGAAGCACAGGCTCTTAAGACAATGAACTTTCTTGCTCAGTGCTCCCCATGACCATGTCAGCCACTCCCCAAATCTAGGTCTCCTTGTTTCAGTTCTATTTCCTTCAAGAGAGTGAGAAGGAGGAGACTGATTTCTTTTTTCCAAAATCATGGACACAAGACTGTATGAAAGAAGCCAGCCCCATGTGGATCAAAGGCAGCCTCTCAGGTGCGGGCCACAGACGATGGTGTCGTGTGCTTTTCTAACTGCCAGCGAGCGAACAGGCTTTCAGCTCTGCCTGATTCTTTGACTATTTTTATTACTCAACACGCCTCTTTTAACAACTAATAGGAAGAATTGTTTCAAAGGTCAGTTTTTGTCCTTCTACCTAGAGGAAAAAGTGAACATGGGATGCTTGTGATGAACACAGATTGTTTCTTCCCTCTTTATCTGAAGAATCCATTAACATGTCTGTGGATCATGGGATTTAAATAAGAAGTCAACACAAACATCCAAAGACAAAAAGGGACTGGGTAGAAGTAAGGGATGTTGATCAAACATGAATTAACAGGACCTATTTTACACCAAAGAGAAGCCACCCCTCTGCCAGCCTTCATGCCACACAGTAAAAGGCAGCAGTCGGCCCTGTGGGGTCCCTCTTCCCAGCAGGAGGAGAGGTACACAGTAGCGTCCTAGCTCTCAGCTTCTTGCCTTTCCTGTTGGTGAAATCTGTCACTCCATCTTTTTATAATCTTTAAAGGATTGGGCCCTAAAAAATAACAAGTTCTATTTTGAAAGTCAAAGACTCGGCAAAACAGAAACAGGACCCTAAGTTCTTCTGGCTAACTTCAAACCCCACATTCCCCGCTGCGGTCCACAGGACGCATTCTCTGTGTTGACCCACCCCTGCGGTCCACAGGACGCATACTCTGTGTTGACCCACCCCTGCGGTCCACAGGACGCATACTCTGTGTTGACCCACCCCTGCGGTCCACAGGACGCATACTCTGTGTTGACCCACCCCTGCGGTCCACAGGACGCATACTCTGTGTTGACCCACCCTGCGGTCCACAGGACGCATACTCTGTGTTGACCCACCCTGCGGTCCACAGGACGCATACTCTGTGTTGACCCACCCCTGCGGTCACAGGACGCATACTCTGTGTTGACCCACCCCTGCGGTCCACAGGACGCATACTCTGTGTTGACCCACCCTGCGGTCACAGGACGCATACTCTGTGTTGACCCACCCCTGCGGTCCACAGGACGCATACTCTGTGTTGACCCACCCCTGCGGTCCACAGGACGCATACTCTGTGTTGACCCACCCCTGCGGTCCACAGGACGCATACTCTGTGTTGACCCACCCCTGCGGTCCACAGGACGCATACTCTGTGTTGACTCACCCCTGCGGTCCACAGGACGCATACTCTGTGTTGACCCACCCCTGCGGTCCACAGGACGCATACTCTGTGTTGACCCACCCCTGCGGTAGGCTGGGCACATACCCCAGTTTTGTGCAACTACACAAAGAGCATTTACTTTTCAAGCTGTCGCAGCCTTTGCCGCAGCTCCTGGGTGGCGATGGGCAATGATATGTCAGAGGCTATGCTAGGGGTGGGCTCCTTCGCTGAGACATGGCTCGGAGAGGCCAGGAGGCTGGAGGAGCTTCTGCCCAAGTCACGCGGGGCCGTTGGGCTGGCTTCAGGCGGCTGGGCTTTGTCTTCCACACCAGGCTTATCTCCACCCCCAAGGACCGGAGTGGAAGGAGCCGTGCTGCTGCCCCCGGTGCCTGAGGATACAGACACCTGGGACTTGACGGGCATTTTCCTCCCTTCTTTGGAAACAGAGGGTCGTTTTACTTGAGCTGAATGTTGGTAGTCTGGGGACCTTTCTTGCTTTTCAAGATGGAGTACCTAGAAGTAGAAATAAAAAAAAAAATTAGTGACACTAATAATATAGATACTTGAATAGATATAGATGTGTTCATTTGCAATTTGGCTGAAAACACTAAAAAATTTAGTCTATCTGTTCAGTTATCCAGTTATTACAGAAGTACCATCTCACAATAAGTTCAAAGGAAAGTTTAAGTAATCAAAATGCCACTTGTATTCATCCATCCACTATGTCCACCACGTCCACGTCTTCCCATCTTCCTGTAGTCTCCTCCATTCTCAAGTGGGGGAGTGTTCTTACAGGAAGAGCACGTTTAGTCACGTGCTCTTTTCAGAAGACTGAATTCCTTATTTTACTTGGATGGTTTCTGTAAGCACCCCCAGAGCTCCCATTACCCAGCAAGATCAGCCCCCAAACAATGACGCATTAGTACAGAATGGGGGTGTCTGCACAACCCGCACAACCCACACGTCTGAGCTATGATGCATGTGAAAGCCGTTGTGAGTCTCCACCACACGCCAGAGAGCAGGGTCTCCACTCTTGGGTTATTGTGATAGCTTGAAGATTTTCTCTGTTTTTATGAAAAAAAGCTGCAGCAAACATCTTTCTGTTCATTGTGTTCCTGTGTTTTGTATTATTACCAACTGTCAGATCTCTGAAAAAAGGCCCATCGATCTAAGCGGCCCTTGGATTTACAGCTTGCAGATCTTTCTTGAAGGGTTATGCTAAGACCACCTGTCTTGGCCAAGGACATGGAGACCATTTCCACTACATGCTTGACAGATTAAATCTGTTTAAAATAGCTTTTTCAGGGGCCAGTGCTGTGGTGCAGTGGGTTAAGACACCGTTTGCCGCACCAGCATCCCATATGAGTGCTGGTTCGATACTTGGCTGCTCTACTTCTGATCCAGCTCCCTGCTAATGTGCCTGGGAAAGCAACAGAGGATGGTCCAAGTTCTTGGGTCTCTGCACCCACATGGGAGACCCGGATGAAGCTCCTGGCTCCTGGCTTTGGCCTGGCCCAGCTCTGATTGTTGTGGCCATTTGGGGAATGAACCAGTGAATGTAAGATACCACCCCCCCACCGCCAACTCTGTCTCTCAAATAAATAAATGTTAAAAAAAAAAAAAAAAGAGCCGGCGCCGCGGCTCACTAGGCTAATCCTCCGCCTAGCGGCGCCGGCACACCGGGTTCTAGTCCCGGTCGGGGCGCCGGATTCTGTCCCGGTTGCCCCTCTTCCAGGCCAGCCCTCTGCTGTGGCCCGGGAAGGCAGTGGAGGATGGCCCAGGTGCTTGGGCCCTGCACCCCATGGGAGACCAGGAAAAGCACCTGGCTCCTGGCTCCTGCCATCGGATCAGCGCGGTGCGCTGGTCGCAGCGCGCCGGCCGCGCCGGCCATTGGAGGGTGAACCAGCGGCAAAGAAGACCTTTCTCTCTGTCTCTCTCTCTCACTGTCCACTCTGCCTGTCAAAAAAAAAAAAAAAAAAAAAAAAAAGAAAAACACCAAAACCAAACCAAAACAAAAGGTATTAGAGAGGGAAACAATGTATTTCAGTATAATTAAAATTTTTTTTCAAAGTTGGCTCATTTTCTTTTGCATTTTTTTGATCAGTGGGTTTTAGCATTTTTCGATATTTTTGCCAATTTTTATTTCAACATTTCCTTAAGTATTTACAAATGAACTGTGATCTATTTTGGACAAAGAAGTATTTGTAAGTTTCGACTATAGTAGAGCTTTGTTAAATTCTCTCTTAAACAACCTTTGAAAATTCAACCTTGGTAGAAAACTCTGGTAATATATAGTGACATTTTCTGGATCAAAATATGAAACACAGAGGATGGCGCTGTGATGTAGCAGGTAAAGCCACTGCCTGCAGTGCCAGCATCCCTCATGGGCGCTGGTTCGAGTCCTGGCTGCTGCACTTCTGACCCTGCTATTGTGCCTGCGAAAGCAGCGATAGATGCCCCAAGCCTTTGGGCCCCTGCACCCATGTGGGAGACCCAGAAGAAATCCAGGCTCCTGGCTTTGGATCAGCCCAGCTGCAGGCATTGTGGCCATTTGCACAGTGAACAAGTGGATGGAATACCTTTCTCTCTTCCAAATAAATAAATCTTAAAAAAAAAAAAAAAACAGTTGGGCAAAAACAGTGAATAATTTGGGGCCTATTCAAGCAACCTGGAAATACTACTTTTGTTTTTTGAGGCCAGCCTTTATCACCTCTCCCCACATTCTGATGACATTCTGCTGCAGTTCCCAGTCTCCGAAACAGAACCACTGAGTTGGTGACAGTAACCGCACAGGACCCTGTCCTGGGGCGGTATCTGCCGCACCGGATAGCATCCACAAGCATTGCTTCCAGCAACCTACTTCCTGCCCATCCATTACGTATTGATTGCAAAAGACTATACAATACCCTGAGGGCAATCTTCATTTTTATAGTGCTGTTTGGACCTGAATTACTGAGCTGGAATCGCTGATTCACGGTCATGTCATCGCTTGCAAGGAGCTGACTGAGGGGGATCTTCAGGTTCCCCAGAGAACACTGATGCTGTTCATCTTTGACCTGCAAAACATGGCACAGAAGATAGATTCAGCTGGAAACAACGGTGCAGAAATTACAGACAACGTACAAAGGGTCACAAAGTTAACCATCAAAATCATATTTCAAAAAAAAAAAATGCCCTGGGGCCGGCGCTGTGGCGCAGCGGGTTAACACCCTGGCCTGAAGCACCGGCATCCCATATGGGCGCTGGTTCTAGTCCCGGCTGCTCCTCTTCCAATCCAGCTCTCTGCTGGGGCCCAGGAAAACAGTAGAAGATGGCCCAAGTCCTTGGGCCCCTGCACCCACGTGGGAGACTCAGAAGAAGCTCCTGGCTCCTGGCTTTGGATCTGTACAGCTCTGGTCGTAGCGGCCATTTCGGGGGTGAAGGAAGACCTTTCTCTCTGTCTCTCTCACTGTCTAACTTTATCTGTCAAATAAATTTAAAAAAATAAAAATAAACAATCCATGGGCCAAAGAAATAAATCAAAAGAGGAATTAAGAAAATAATATTAAACAAGAGAGTAATTACTAAAAATAACGAAAATGAAGTCAAGACAAATCAAAATTTGTGAACTGTAGCTAAAATAGTACTTAAAAAGAAATACACTGGATTAAATGCCTGTATTGTAAAAGAAGAAAGATCTCAAAGTAAGCTTTAAGAAACTAGAGAGAAGCAAATGAAACACAAATTAGGCAGAAGAAATGAAGTCATTATCATTGCAGAAATCAATAAAATAGTAAAAAGTAGTGATGATAATGAAACCAAAAGTTGGCTCTTCAAGAAAATAAAATTGATAAATCTCTTACCAGACAGATCAGAAAAGAGAATACACAATTCCAATCTCAGGAAGGACTAAACTGGCATTGCAGTAGGACATTAAAGGAATTCTATGAATAATCTTATGCGAAAAGATTTCAACAACTGAAATGAAATGAACAAACCCGCTGAAAGACATACATACCAGGAATCATTAAAAAGAAATAAATAACCTGGACAGACCTTTATCTGTTGATTGAATCGAAGCTGTATTTTAACACCCTTTCACAAAGAAAACTGCAGGCCCAGCTGGCTTCATTTGTGAATGCTATCAAACAGATAAGGGGGGAAATACTAGCGCTACACAGACTCCTCCAGAAACCCAAGAGGAGGGAATATTCCCAACTCCTTCATGAGGCCAGCATTGCCTGCTACCAAAACTAGAAAAACATTATTAGAGGACAACAAGCAACCACAGGCCAGTATCCCTCATGAGTAACCTGCCAACGTTCTAAAAAATATTTTAGTAAACTGAATTGAACAGTAAGTGGATAATATATCACATCATGATCAAGTAGGGCTTAGCCCTGAATAAAGAACTGCTTGCAAGTTTTTCTTTTGTAAATTTTTTAAGGTAAACAAATCTCATGTAATTCATATACACAGATTTAGGAACACAGTGATGTTTCCCACCCCTGCCCCCACCCTTCCTCCTCTTTCCTCTCTTATTTTCTTAGTTTACTTTATACTCATAAGGTGAACCCTACACTAAGTAAAAAGTTTAACAAATAGTAAGAAAAAAAATTGTTCCTCAACAGTAGAGACAAGGCCTATAAACAATCATCAAATCTCAAAACGTGAATTTCACTCCTATATATTACATTTGTGGTACTCTATTAGTTACCACAGATCAGGCAAAACATATGGTATTTGTTTGTTTAGGACTGCTGTAAGGTTTTCAAATGTTAAATCTTGAACCAAATAAATAAAAGTTTTTAAGGTTTAACATTTGAAAATCATCAATGTAGTTCATATTTATAGGCTTAAGAAGAAAAACTACATCTCAGTAGACGGAAAAGAGCAGTTGGTGAAATTCAACATTCATTCATAATTAAAAGTTTTCAGCAGACGAGTAGCAGGGGTAGAGGGACACCTTCTCTGCCAGATAAAAGGCATTTAGGGAAATTCCCATCCGCAACAGCCTCCACAGTGAGACATGTGGTCAGGAGGCTAAGAAGCCCACTCACCACCACACGTGCCAGGGGTTCTGAGCAGGGCATTGACACAAGAAAAGGGAGCAAGATGTTCAGGTAGGAAATAAAGAGGTGGAGATATTATTAGCAAATAACATGACTGTCCATTTATGAAATCCTAACATGTCTATACACTAGAACTAATAAGCAAGTCAAGTACAGTGGTATAAGATTATATCAATACATAAAATCAACTGTATTTGTATATGTTAGTGAAAAAATAAAAAATCTAAAATTTAAAAAATACCACTAGCAGGGGTTGGCGCTGTGGCGCAGCGGGTTAATGCCCTGGCCTGAAGTGCTGGCATCCCATATGGGTGCTGGTTCTAGTCCCGGCTGCTCCTCTTCCAATCCAGCTCTCTGCTATGGCCTGGGATAGCAGTGGAGGATGGCTCAAGTCCTTGGGCCTCTGCACCCACGTGGGAGACCTGGAAGAAGCTCCTGGCTCCTGGCTTTGGATAGGTGCAGCTCTGGCCATTGCAGCCAATTGGGGAGTGAACCAGCAGTTGGAAGACCTCTCTTTCTCTCTGCCTCTCCTCTCTCTGTGTAGTTCTGACTTTCAAATAAATAAACAAACAAACAAACTACCACTTGCAGTACCATCAAAAACATGAGCTAGTTTGGGAAAATTTGACAGAAATACACAAGATCTGTACTGTACATTAGAAATTTTACAAAACGGGGGCCAGTGACTGGCACAGTGGTGAAGTCGCTGCTTTGCACACCTGCACTCCAGGTCAGAGTGCCTGGTTAGAGTCCAGCCTCCCTGCTTCCAAGCCAGCTTCCTGCTAACACCCACCTCGGGAGGTAGCAGGTGCAGCTCAAGTACTCGGGTCCCTGCCATCCAAGAGGGAGATTCAGGATTGAGTTCTGGGCTCCTGGCTTTGTCCGGCCTAGTCCTGTCTGTTGTGGGCATTTTGTGAGTAAACTAATGAACAGAACATCTCTCCATGTCTGTCTCTGCCTTTCAAAGAAAATGAAAATAAAAAAAAAATTAAACCCCCCTCCCCAAACTATAAGACGCTGATGAGGGGATTTTTGAAAATACCTAAATAAATTCACACAATGTTTCCATGGAACAGAAGACTGAGCACTGCTAAGGTATCAATTTTGATCATTAGATCCACAGTTTCCATGCAGTTCTTCCCAAATTCTCACAGGTTTGATGTAGAAATGGGCAAACTGATACTAAAATTCATATGGAAATGGAGACTAAGTATAACTAAAATAATTTTTAAAAATAAAGTTTGAGCCGGCGCCGTGGCTCAATAGGCTAATCCTCCACCTTGCGGCGCCGGCACACCGGGTTCTAGTCCCGGTTGGGGCGCCGGATTCTGTCCCGGTTGCCCCTCTTCCAGGCCAGCTCTCTGCTATGGCCAGGGAGTGCAGTGGAGGATGGCCCAGGTGCTTGGGCCCTGCACCCCATGGGAGACCAGGAAAAGCACCTGGCTCCTGGCTCCTGCCAGGATCAGCGCGGTGCGCCGGCTGCAGCGGCGGCCATTGGAGGGTGAACCAACGGCAAAGGAAGACCTTTCTCTCTCTGTCTCTCTCTCTCACTGTCCACTCTGCCTGTCAAAAAAAAAAAAAAAAAAAAAAATAAAGTTTGAAGGCTTACATTATTTGATTTCAAGGTTTATTTATAAAGCACCAGTAATAAAGACAGTGTGGAACTGGCATAAAGACAGACATATAGAACAATGAAACAGAAGGCTCTCTTGAAATAGACCCTCACATATGGCCACTGACGTGCTACAAGATGCCAAGCTAATTAAGTAGGGCAAAGAATAATGTTTTCAACAAAAACTGTTGAACAATTGTACAGCCAGCCATACATTAAAAAAAAAAAGAACCATGATCTTCTCTTATACAACAAATGAATATTAATGCAATATGAATCACAGACCTCCAGAAAAAAGAGATGAGAAAATTTTAGAAACTCTAGGTTTCACAAATATTTCTTAAATGGGATACAGAGTAAGAACTAAAATGAAAAAAAGTGTTAAATTGAACTTCATCAAATTTCAAAACTTCTGCTGTACAAACTATGGTTACAAAATGCAAAATAAAGCCACAGATTGAGAGAAAATATCTGTAAAATGTGGAATAAAAAACATTTGTTTCTAGAATATATTAAAACTTACAATTCAGTATTAAGAAATCAATCTCACCAAAAAATGGGCAAAGTAATTGAATAGACATTTCACCACAGAAGACACACAGATGGATAAATAAACACAGAAAGATGCCCAACATCCATAGTAATCACAATTAAATTATCATGAGATACTAACAGTAGTTCCCTGTTATCCACGGGAGACACTTTTTTAAGATTTACTTTGAAAGTCAGAGTTGGAGAGACAGAGACAGAGATCTTCCAACTACTGGTGCACTCCTCAGATGGCTGCAACGGCCAGTGCTGGGCCAGGCGGAAGCCGGGAGCCAGCAGCTTCCTCTCAGTCTCCCATGTGGGCCACCCTCTGTTGCTTTCCCACGCCCTTAGCAGGGAGCTGGACCAGAAATGGAGCAGCCGGGAAGTGAACAGGCACCCATGTGGTCTGCTGGCATCACAGGCGGTGGCCTTACACCAAAGTCTATATACATACGGTTTTTCCTATACAATCATATATGATAAAGTTTAATTTATAAATTGGGAACATTGATAACAATAATAAAAAACATTTATAACAACATATTGTTGTAATGAAAGTTATCTGAATGTGGTGTCTCTTTACTATCACCTTTCTTCTTGTGATATTGAGGCTGAACTTCAGAACTGAAACTGTGGAGAGTGAAAGCCATGGATCAGGGACTTGCTCTACCCACTGCCTACCCACGACGCAGTGTTGGCGAGCTGTGGAGAACGGGCACGTCTCACACACTGCTGATGGGAATGCAAGACGGCACGACTGCTTTGGAAAACCATCTGGCAGTTTATTAAGAAGTCAAACATGCACCCACCATCCTGCTCCCAGAAATTTAGCCAGGAGAAAGGAAGGCACAGATTCACCCAAAGATTCTTGTGTGAATACTCATAGGTTTATCTACAATAGGTGTAATTTGAAAAGAATTCACTCTTTTTTCCAAATATTTATTTATTTGAAAGGCAAGGTGAGAGAGAGAGAGGGAGAGACAGACACAGAACTTCCGTCACTGGGTCACTATCCAGAGTGACACAACAGCCAAGTCTGGGCCAGGCTGAAGTCAGGAGCCAGCTACTCCAGCCTGGCTGCCCATGTGGGTGGCAGGGACTCAAGTACTGGGAGCATTTTCCAATTCTCCCAGGCACATTAGTAGGGAACTGGACAGGAAGTGGAGAAGCCGGGATTGTCCGGTACTCCTGTCTGGGATGCCGGCATCCAAGTGATGGCTTGACCAGCTGTGCCACAACACAACCTCAAGAATTCACTCTTGTATTGATGGGTGAGTGGGCATGCAAACTGTGATACATTCATATCATGGACATATCACACACACACACACACACACACACACGAAGAACAGCTGCCACTTGGGACACCTGTATCTCATATCAGAGCGTGTGAGTGTGAGTTTGAGTCCTGGCTCCACTCCTAATTCCAGTTTCCTCCTAATGTGCATCCAGTGGGACCCTGACACCCATGTGGAAGACCTGGACTGAGTTTCTAGCTCCTGGCTTCAGCCTTGGCTGTTGTGAACATTTGGGGAGCGAACCAGCGTAAAGGAAATCTCTGTCTCTTGTCTCTCTCTCTCTCTCCTGTCTTTTTGGCTTTCAACAGATTAAAAGAAAACACTTAAAGGATAAACTATGGATATTAAAAAACACAGGTGAACTTTAAAATAATTATCATGAATGTACAGATAGGGGTCTATGCTGTGGCGTAGCAGGTATAGCCACTGCCTGCAATGCTATTATCCCATATGGGTGCCAGGTCGTGTCCCGGCTGCTCTATTTCCAATCCAGCTCCCCACTAATGGCCTGGGAAAAGCAGTGGAAGATGGCTCAAATACTTGGGCCTGTGCACCCACATGGGAGACATGGAAGAAGCTCTTGAATTCGGCTTGGCGTAACACTAGCTGTTGCGGCAATCTGAGGAGGGAACCAGTGGATGGAAGATCTCTGTTTCTCTCTCTCCCTCTCTCTGTGTAACTATGACTTTCAAATAAATAAACAATTTTTAAAGAAAAAGATATAGACAAAGAAGTATACATACTGTGTTTCTATTTATATAAAATTCTAGAACAAGTGAGTGATAATGTAGAGTGACATGGCAGAAGCAGATGTGCGTCTGCCTGCAGGAGGTATGAGCTACAGAGATGATACAGCTCCAGAAGGGGTGATGAGTATATTCATTATAGGGACTGTGGTCTTGGGTTGGTCCATGAGTACATCCATAGGTCACAACTCATCAAACTGAACACTTTAAATTCATATAGTTTGCTATGTGTCAATAACATTTCAACTAATCAGTTAAAAAATGCAAATAAAATACCTCAATTTCGAGGTCCTGGCGCTTGGGATTGTGAATGAAGAAAGTGAAGTTTTCCTCCCACACAGGTTCATTGGTTTTGTACCGAATCTGGAAGATATATGCCAGTGTCAGTTTTGTAGTATTTCCTGTGGACATGGGCTACCAGCACCGTGCTTATTCCTTTAATGTGTTTGGAAGATGAGGATGACTTTAATTAAATTCCAAGACACATATTATGTATTTACTGAGTATATACTGTTATGTGTTAATCATGGAAAGAGTTCAAAAGATGGAGAGACAGTCTGAAGCTCCTAGAGTATCAGGAAATTGTTAGGAAAATCCATCCTGTGTGCCCAAAGACAAAAATACTATGTGCTTGGACTTGGTCCTCCCAGTCCCCCAGTGCTTAGAATGGTGCTATGTGTGGGCATGTGGGCATGTTATTAACATAACAATTATTATGTTCATGATTAAAAGTGAGCAATGACTATAACTCTAACTCCTGAAATGTTTTATCTCATATCAGGAAAGTTCAACCAATTACAGCAATAACAATACTACTTTTTACTTTTTAAATGCTAATCTTTATTAGGATAGTTTAAGTGATCAAATGATATACTTCATCTCAAGAATTAAACAGGAGCGTAAGTCGATAAGTGTTATCTGTGTTTTGTTGTTTTCATCACTAGCCACTATTTCTTGAATAACTGTCATGCAGCCATACATTCTCTGTAACCTGCATGGTCCAGCCACATTATTTTCATCTTACAAAGGGAAAAATAACTTGGGTGTCCTTGGGCTAATTTCTTTTTTTCCTTTCCTTTTATTTATTTATTTTTTGTTATTCAGTTTTACAATGTCCACTTTAATTCTTGGATCTAATTGTATTTGTTGAAATTTCTTTTAAATTAAAATTTTATACAGTGCTAAAAAGAAATCTAAGAATTTATTCTTAGTATCTACTCATAAAATCAAGCAAAAGCATATTCCTATGTTATTTCTTAATATTAACTGTTACTAAATTAAGTAGGTGGCTGTTTGTCAAATGACTGATTTAAAGGGGGGGAAGATATGGAAAGCAATGGTTTTAATGTCTATTCTTTCACATAGAGCAATTCAGCACCCTCCACCTAAGAGTGGAGATAGTGGCAAACATGATTGGATGAAGACAATCAGAAAATTCACCACATACAAGTAACTTACCTTACTCTCTTGGGCCCTGTGCCCAACTGACATTTGGACAAGAGGATTTGGGTTGCTGTTTATTTTCTTCCCTGACTATCAAAAGAAAAATAAAGACAAAATGAATAAATACATTTTAAAGTCAGTTTTACAAAAAATGAAATTATTGGCTTATATTAATAGTTATTTCTATTTATCTCTGATATTTCACATACAGAGGATATCTGGGAACAATTTAAATGGAAAAAAATTGCTAAGCACAACGCAAGCCAATGTTTCATCTAACATAAAATAAATTAAGAGAACATCAATTTGCACACAATTTTCAAATGTTAAAGTCTTTCATTTTTAAAGTAAGTTACTTGGGGAAAATTGAATCCTCTAAGTATCTTTGACATTAACTATAGTTCTTAGCTTATTTTATTGACTCGAATAACAAAAATGTATAAAATGCAATGAATGGAAACAAAAAAAATGAGAAAAGACAAATGTAAAAGAACGTATAATTCAGAATATCTCTCTGATTGGAATAATAAAAACAACACAGTGTATGATACGTGGCTTTACATTTTTTAACTTATCATCCTCTGTTCAAGCATGTGTAGGTATCAGATATCAAATCTTGCTTACCAACTGCTAAATAATTTTGACTGGAAGAATAACCATCAGTTTAGAAGTGCACTACATTAAACAGATATAAATACAATGAAAAAAACTTCAGGAATAAGAAAAAAAAAAGAAAAGCATAGTTTAGCACACAGTTGATAGAAAACAGTAAAACACAACAGATATGTGACATGAGGTTTATTTATAACTTAGCCCCACAGGAAGATGCAGTTAAATATCTGTTAGTGGAAATTAATCAGAAGGTCACAAAAATGTTTTTTGAGTTAAATAATTTTAGAGTCAATCTTCAACACTGCAACGATGACAGAAATAGGTGTCAAAGTCGTATGATTATTTTTTTAAGAAAGTATTACTAGCCCAAACCTACTGCGACAATCTATTTTCTGGTTCATCGTTTTTGATGTGAATGAATTCTGCAAAATGAAATAAATACTGTTAAAGAGCATCCAAGGCTACAGACTATTGTGGCAAAGAAAACTCATTTTCCCTTTAAATCAAGTTTCTTTGTCCTGACTGTTACAATCTGTGAGTTTTAACTGAGCACAAGCCTGTAAATAAAAATCTCATTTCCAAACTTCCCTTGCAGCTGAGCGTGGTCAGGTGCCTGTATTCTGGCTTGGAGGGGGGCGTGTCCCCCCAGCTCCCCATCCCTGAGATGGGGAGCACAGTCTGCGCATGGCAGACCCTCAGGCCAGAATTCTGTTATATTAGAGGGAAATGAACTTCTTGCTTGTTTGAGCTACTGCTACTTTGGATACAAAAGTTGAGCTTAGTTGATAGAAAGACTGCATCTGCAAAAAAGGAAGGCACTCTTTCTTAGGGGTTCACTGCATCAAGTTTGAAGCCCATTCTCCAGCTCCTAGTGCCTCTGTGAACAGAATGGAATTCACGACTGTTTTCTGGGCAGTTTGCTGCAGTGAAATGGTCGTCATTGCCTTAACCAATTTATGTGGCTTATATTTGCGACATGATAAAAATCTGTTTTTCAAGTAAGAAAATCCTTTCAGAAAGTATAAAATAAATACTATAAAAAGTTAACTGATGTTTTATAATCTTTCTTTGTGGTACATCTTAAAATGGCTGATGTTTGGGGCCAGTGCTGTGGTGTAGTGGGTAAAGCCTCCATCTGCAGCACCAGCATCCCATATGCGTGCTGGTTCAAGTCCTGGCTGCTCCACTTCCTACCCAGCTGCCTGCTAATGAGCCTGGAAAAGCAGCTGATAGCCAAGTGCTTGGGCCCCTGCACCCACATGGGAGACCTGGAAGAAGCTCCTGGCTCCTGGCTGAGGCCTGGCCATTATGGTCATTTGGGAAATGAACTAGCCAATAGAGGATCTCTCTCTCTCTCTCTCTCTCTCTCTCTCTCTGCTTTCTGTAACTCTGCCTTTCAAATAAAATAAATCTTTTTAAAAAATGGATGATGTTTTAAATTCTACGAAACAAGGTTAAATCACTATGCTTTCTACCAGGAAGCGACATTCAAAATGCATCAGCACAAGTTAAAGGCATTAACGATAATGAAAATGTAAGCTTTGAGTCAGATCATCCTGAAGGTTCATCTCAGCTCTTCATCATGTGACGACTGAGACGACTTCCTTGGTTTATCTGAACCTCAGCTTTCCTGTCTATCGAACAAGCATGACAGCACTTCCAGACCCTGCTGTTAGGCGTCAGTGGCTAACAGTCACATAATAACATAACAACTACAATACACACATCATCTTAACTACACTGAATACTTTTATATTCAATATTTTTTAATATACTGAATAATCCAATGAGGAAGGAATTATTTCCATCCTAAAAAAGACAAGTTAATTAAATATAAGTTGTGCTGCTGACTAGGCATATTGGATTCAAATCCTGTCTGATTTTGGAGTCACCCTTTCCAACCATGGTGCTGTATTGGTCAATAGCCTTCATATCGTAAAGAACTGAGTGAGCAAAGGATGCTCATAACATCCCTTCAGTGCTCCCGCAGGCACAGTGACGTCAGCCGTTGTGCTAACCAGCACCCAAGAGCAGTGATCCTGGGGCTGGCACTGTGGCCCAGTGGCTCAGGTGGCTGCGTGGCACGCTGGCATCCTATATTACAGTGCTGGTTCAGGTCCTGCTGTTCCACTTCTCATCCAGCATTTATGCTACTATGACTGGGAGGACAATGGCACATGGCCCAAGTGTTTGGGTCCCTGCTACACATGTGGGAGACCAGGATGGAGTTCCTGGCTCCTGGCTGCAGTCTGGCCTGGACCCAGCTGCTGTGGCTATTTGAGGAGTAAACCAGCAGATGGAAGATTGATCAATTGATCAGTTGATCGCCCTCTGTCTCGCCATTTGTCACTCTACCTTTCAAACAGATAAATCTTTAAAAAAAAGATTTTGCCACTCTCTTTCACTTGAAAATTAACTTATTTTTTCCAGATGAAACTGGATAAAATCATTCCTGTTAATTTGGAACAGAATTATCTTTAAACAATTACATTTACAACTCCCCCAACCCCGCTCCAAAATTCTTAAACCTAAAATAGTCAGAAATTAGAGAAAAAAATAATAAAACTTTTTAAGTCATAGAAAACTTAGAGCAATTTAGTCAGAGAATGCATGCTAATGTCATATTTTAGGGAGTGGAGCTTAGTTTTCAATATACCTCATTTAATGAAATTTAAAAGCTTCTTGAATGATCTTTCACCCAAACCCAGCAGCACCAAAAGCCATGAGGTTGTCGATTCAGAGATGATCCTACTACAACATATTGGAAGAGGTGATTTTTAATGCATATTTACAGTTCACAAAGTGTATCCTTCAATCTGAATTTTAAAATAGTTAAAATTTTACATAAACTTCTCTACCACCATTTTCACAATTTCCGGCCCAATTAAAATGTAGTTATTTAAGTCACCTTAAAGATTGCTGCCTAAGGCCAACAGGAAAAATATCTATTTTATCATATTGGTACTGTACAAAATTTACCTTCAAAGATGACTTAAATTCTAACTGCTGGTTCTTGGGTAATACAAGTAGGATTTCTCCCACTAGACATTCGATTAATATACTAGCGTGGGTGGTTTTCCGTCAATGCACTTAGGAGAGTTAAAGGAATCATCTCTTTCAATATGTGTTCAACACTTTGCAATCTCAGGGAAACCATTAGTTTACCTTCAAAGCTTTCTGAACTGCAGCCTTCTTCAAGACATCAGGGTTAAATTCTAATGGGTTACTCTTTCAAGTCAGAAGAAAATGAATATACCAAGGGTTAATAAATCATGCCATGAGGAATTTATGTAAGGTTAATGATATGAAGATTCATGGGAACAAACAAAAAGTCTTTAAACAAAAACCACTAAGAATTACACAAACAACCATAAGAGCCATCTATGAAATTCTTATTTCCCGAGATTTTTATCCTAGAATGAACCTTTAATCTAAGCGTATTTCCTTATCCAATATAATTAATTTCCCCACCCGCCCTGTTCTTTGGAATTTGAAAAAAATAAAGGAGTGAGACTTTAGGAGTTCTATTTACTATCATTTGCCCAAATAAATTCCTAAAACAGCAACCATAATCAAAGGTTTTGTCTGAAATACAAATTAATGGACCATAGTTTCCCAAATTGCTCTCAAGCCAAATCATATCCTATTTACTTTCTTAGTGCAACGGCACAGGAGAGACAGAACCAACTTCTCTACTTTGTCCTCACCCTTTTCTAGGTATAAAAGTAGAAACTGGCTAGATCATCTTAAAAGCCTTTCTGGCTTTAAATAAAGTTCTATTATTATGGATTTTATGTCCTACTTTTATTCTTTTTTCCAGTTCATTACTTTCTCGCCCTCAGAAGAGCAAGGATGAGTTGTTTTGCAAGCTCCTAGGACTAACATTTAAGATAAAATATTTTGGCCGGCGCCGTGGCTCAATAGGCTAATCCTCCACCTTGCGGCGCCGGCACACCGGGTTCTAGTCCCGGTCGGGGCGCCGGATTCTGTCCCGGTTGCCCCTCTTCCAGGCCAGCTCTCTGCTATGGCCAGGGAGTGCAGTGGAGGATGGCCCAGGTGCTTGGGCCCTGCACCCCATGGGAGACCAGGAAAAGCACCTGGATCCTGGCTCCTGCCATCGGATCAGCGCGGTGCGCCGGCTGCAGCGGCGGCCATTGGAGGGTGAACCAACGGCAAAGGAAGACCTTTCTCTCTCTGTCTCTCTCTCTCACTGTCCACTCTGCCTGTCAAAAATAAAAAAAAAATAAAAAAATAAAAAAAATAAATAAAATAAGATAAAATATTTTTATCATTTTAGTTGTAATTAACTTCAAATGACAAATTGAACTTGATTTTTAATTTAAAAAAATTAACCAGCAGACACTGCAAGGAAGAAAGACGGATGGCAGTGCCCCAGTCTTCCTTGGCCAGCAGACTCGGCCAGGGAGGCAGGTGGGATTTCCGCTGGGCAGGGATTCACGCAACACCAAAACCGGTCCTCAGCCTGCCGATTCAGCCTGCAGAGCTCTCAGAGGATCCTGGGCCCCAGCATCCACTGCTGCGTGGAGCTTGAACAGGGGTAATTTTTAACAGCTTCCCGATGTTAGCACAGGAAACCGTCACCCTAACGCGTGAGGACTGACACTTCAGAAATCACCAGAACCTCTCCCGAAGCTCACTTTTATGGCCTATACTAAATACACTTATTCTTCTAACATGCATCAGTTAAAGAAAAACAAGGAGACAGGCTGTGGTGTGGTGTTAGGGGGTGCAAGAGAAGCTGTGTGAGGTCAAGGAAAAGTACACAGGCCTGTGGGTGAGACAGACTGGATCATTCAAGTGCTCCTGGGAGGCACCCCATTGTGAGGCCTCTGGACGTTATGGATCATGCACCCTTGGGCTACTCACAATCAATGGAAGCAGTAATAGCCACCTGCACACTTTTTTTTTTTTTTTTTTTTGAGAGCCAAATAACTTGCACAAAGCCCTATCATCACCCCTCAGGGTCTCCACAGTGGCAGCTATTATACAGCTTGGCATTATTATATTTAAAAAAGGCAACTACTATAACACCACACACCTCAGATAAACTCCATATACAGGCTTATAAGCCTACACATTTAATAAAGTGAAACAAATCCACTTTCTACTAGGACAGAGTCATGGGGGCTGAGAGGGTTCAGGAATGTAGCTGTGGGTCACATGGCTGAGTTCCAATCCCAGCTCTGTTAACCGGTGGCCCTGGGCCTCTCGTCTCAGTGATCTGCGTTCTCCGTGCTGTCTCGGTTCCCTTCTCTGCACAGAGATAACGATGCTGTGTGGACTAGATGAGGTATAAATGCAGAGCCCTCAGAACTCTGCTGCTTATGGGAAAGTGCTCCATAAGCACAGGGCCTCACGTAAGCCTACGTTCCTGACGCTGGTCACTGCCAATCAGAGAACGTCCTCATTGCTCAAGCCTGAAATCCAAGCCCAGGATTTGACTAAAAGGAGGAGGTCACAGTTCTAAGAGTTAACATTACAAAGAGTGCATTTTCAGCACAGAGGAAATTTCTGTTGTTTGAAGTTTTCAGATGGGGATCCTTGGTGGTAATAAACTCTCGAAACTGAAAACTAAAGTTTTTTAGAGAGCTACGAGACGGCAGCATCTAAAACCTCTTCTAGTAATAGTGATGGTCTCAGCTCAAAAACACTGATCCTATTGAAAACAAAGGGGTCAGAAACACTTCAAACTTATTTGACAGAACTGTGTACATTTTAAACAATTACAGGATGTGATTTTGATAATGCATAAGGAACGTGAATTTCGATAACCCAGCAATGTTATAGACTAAAAATTATAAAGCAGTTTTTAAAATCCTCACACGGGGCAAGCATTTAGCCTAGTGCTGATGACTCTGGTGAAGATACCTGTGTCCCACAGTGGAGTACCTGGGTTTGATATTTGGCTCCGGCTCCTGACTTCGACCTCCTGCTTAATGCAGGCCCTGAAAGGCATGGTGACTGGTTTCTGCCATCCTGGTGGGAGACCTAAAGCCAGCTTTGGTGTGCCTGAGTTCTGCAACTGTTGGCGTCTAGGGAGTAAACCAGTGGACAGGGGCTCTCTGTCTATCAGATAAAATAAATAAGTAAACATTTAAAATCCTGACACAAAGGAGATTTTCTTTCTGCAAAAGGAAGCAGCTGTAGAATGAGAAAAAGCAACTTAAAGTTATTGGAAACAGATGGGCAGAATTTATACAGTAGAGCAATCTCATCTTTTGTATATTTGCAATGAACTTCTCCACTAAGAAATACAAGAATAGAATTATTTTTCATAAAAAAGTGACAGAATATGCTGAATTATGTATCACTGACCTCCTTTTGACTTTTAAAAAGACCTTAAACAGGTGTGAGCTGACACAGCCAGGGAGTTCATGGTTATGACATATTAGTGTTGTGACTTAACAGCACACCTAACCTTTGATGATCTTGATTTTCCTCATGTAAAAAATGGGGTGAAATATTTATTTTAAGTACTACCTCCCAGCCCCTCCTCTCTCTTTCTCTTTTTTTAAGAATAAACTAGGGGCTGGTGCTATGGTGCAGTGGGTTAACACCCTTGGCCTGAAGCGCCGGCATCCCATATGGGTGCCAGTTCGAGACCTGGCTACTCCACTTCCCATCCAGCTCTCTCCTGTGGCCTGGGAAAGCAGTAGAAGATGGCCCAAGTCCTTGGGCCCCTGTACCGCGTGGGAGACCTGGAAGAAGCTCCTGGCTCTTGGCTTCATCTCGGCACAGCTCTGGCCGTTGTAGCCATTTGGGAAGTGAACCAGCAGATGGAAGACCTCTCACTCTCTCTCTCTGCCTTCTCCACTCTCTGTGTAACTCTGACATACAAATAAATAAATCTTAAAAAAAAAAGAATAAACTGACGGTGTATGTGGAAATCCTTTGAAAAAGTACTAGAGTATGAGATTCAAGGGACAAACCTTAAGAATCTCACTAATCATTGAATTAAACCTGAGGAGTGATTTTCTAGACTAATGACCAAGCCACCAGGCTTTCTATGGCCCCAAAACAAGTGAAAATAGCTATCTACGGAAAGCACCAAGAACAGCACCAGAAATGAAGGTCCCGGTTATAAAGACTAGGCAGAAAGAGATGTAACAAGATCAAAACAACAAATGCTTAATTATCTGCGCCAGGAAAATATTTAAAAGAAGCTGAATCATAAACTCAATATAGTTTGCTTCTCCCTTAGGAGCTCTGGTTAAACCATGCCAGAGAAGGCAAATTTTCATTTAAAACAGATGGACTTCCATCTTCCTATGACCATTCCCCTGGGTAACTGACAGCTGACTGCACAGGGTATATTTTAAAGAAAGCTGGAATTCTGACACTTGTATGTTTGATCAGGAGGAGAAAGTAGATTTATGAAAGTTTTGTCAAAGTTTAAAAAATATTTACATCTCACATTGAGATGAACTACAGGAAAATACGTTTTAATCATTCTGGCTTCATTTCTTCCACGGAACAATTTTTATTATGGTGTATGGGCCAGTAGCAATTTAGGAATCTAAGGCAGCCTGCTAGGTTTGTTCATCTCATCATCAGATGTACTTTCCAGTATTAAAGCAGTGTTAACACTTTACAAAAGAAACATAAAGTAAATACATGGTAACTGAAATCATGCAAGAAAATGAAAAGAGCATGCCACATCATTCCACCACTGAGCAGAAGGCATTAGAAGTGCCACACTCTGGCAGTCTCCATTAGAAACAAAAGGAAGAAGGAACACTGAAGGACTCACAAATAGTGCTCTATAGACTGAGGTAGTATTTTCACAAAACACTAGTCCCGAAGCTCGCCTCTCCTTTAAGTAGCCACACCCAAAGTTTCCCTCGTAGACACTCTTAGGAAAGTGGAGACGGGAGGAGAAAGCAAAGAACGGTGGATTGTGGTCAATGCGCGCGCCAGCAGCACAAATAAACAGGAGTGCAAAGGCAGAGGCAAAGACTCTGGCAAAACACAGTGAAACCAGTCAGCAAATGCTCCCATGTAAAATAAACACCCCACAGGGCCGGGGCTTTGCCAAGATCCTTTGCCTCTGATGGCCATAAGCATACTTCATGCACAGTGCCCTCTTACAGAAAATTATACATTCACTTTTCTTGCTTATGTGACATCATTCAAATTTCAGTATCGTGATAAAACACACAGCTCTAAAGAGAGGCCTAACTCTTTCTTGCCAATTCACTGACACTACTCTATATCCTGAAATATACAACCAATTCACTTTAATCAGGCATTATAAAAGACTCTATAAGAAACATGATCGTAGTTAAAAGCAAAAAGTTTTACCATATACTAAATTCTGTAGAAAGGTTAAATAATAAGTAACTTTTCCTGAATTGAAATTATAACAGATACAGTCACAGACTTTAAACTGGAAGATTGGACAAAAGGTTAAGGTAAATACTTTAAGAGAAGTACAAAAATTTATTAAATTAAAATCAGTCAAGATACCATTATTGAAAGAAAGAGTACATTTATATGCAATCATATACGACAAAGTAAAATTACATTCCCTCAGTAAGAAAATGATGGTATTTTAATTATTAATAACTGTAAATAAACATATTAACATGCAAAGTACATTAACTTTGCTTTTGGGTAAAGTCAAAGTAAATGCACAATTTTCAAACTTTGAAAGTTACTAAATGAAACAAAGGGTGTATGAGTATGTTTCATGAACTCTAATGCAAAGTGAGAATATCCTGCATGAAACACTTATATTCTGAGTGCAGAATGCAGTATTGAAAAAGGCTGGGTTAAGGGCCTCTTCATTTTTTTGTCTATCTCCACCAAATAAATACTGACAAAGGAAGACTATTTACTTACAAACGCACTTAAGTGAAAAACACTTACAATGCAGGAAGAGTTATGCAACAGAGAGTCTTGGGAGGAAAAACCATGTATCTGGGAGCAGTAATCTTTCTTTCAAAAAACTGGCCATGACACCATGACATAAAGAACCACCATCGTGTGAACAAGTGTACTGGTGCTCAAAAAATTATCAAACAATATAACATTGTTAGTGATGACAACATTACCTTAAGGAGCAGGTGTCAAGTGTAACAGTGGAATACCACACCATGCCTCGCCTGACTGAATTAATAGTATTCTCCCTGGTTATAGTTATTAGCTACAAAATTGTATTTTCTAAGAACAAAACAATTCTGATGTAGACAAATAAAATCATATGTTTTTAGGCTGTAGCACATCACGTGTTGGACAGAAGCTTACTCAGAGTCACTGCTTTTTCTTTTGACTGTTAGAAATATCCCGGGTACCTGAGGGCTCAGCACACCTGCCCAGTGGCACCTCTGCCACCATGTGCCCTGAGGACCGCCGGGCCCAGTAGCTCATGCACTGCCATGCTACAAGGGGGACGAGTTTGGAGTTTCTAGTCGGAGCTCTTTTATTATCTCCCACTCCAAAGACACAATTTCCATCTTTAGGCAACAAAGTTTTAACAAGCAGGATGTCCCTCTCACTACTAGTCACATTATTTTTCTGTGTACTAGAAAATTCTTCATAAAATATGCCAGGATAAAGGTAATTCTGAAAGCCTGGACAAATCCAATAAGATGCATCAACGTAATATGCACGCCGAAAGCCAGTGCTGACTTTTCCCTCTCTGCTGCTGCTGTCTTGTGCTGGAGGTGAAGTGAAAACACAGCCAGACAAGAGCAAGTGACACACTGTGGTGAACAAAGCAGTGGCTCCCAAACAAAGTTGCCGCTAGGAAGTAAGCTCCCAAATCAGTTACCACTGCGCGACCTACCGGAAGGTTCCTTGCTGAATCCAAATACAAGATCAGCAGTGCAGAAGAAAGACCGTCATTGGCTTGGTCTTTATCCGCTCTGATGTCTGTTAGCACCTGAAAGGAAAGGGAAACAGCCTTACCAGGTGTGCTTCCACGTGACCGTAAACTAACTACCGAGTGCGTGGGTCAGTCACGCTTGGGAGAGTCAGAAAGGTGAGAAGTAAACCATCTAATATATACAATGCAAAGAGAAGAAATACAATAAATAGCTTTTAAATGCAACACTACTGTTCCGTACTAATTAATTAAGTGAAACAGGTGATACTTGGCTTTCCAAATCCCCGCAATATAGCAAGTATATAATACAGGTGTGAATGTAAACTCCATTTAAAAATTTTTCATCTACTTGAAAAGCACAGCAATAGAGAGACAGACAGATACATCATACTCATCCAGTCTGTGTGTGAGAGATGGGGAGGGGAGAGAGGGAGAAAGAAGGAGGGGGGGGAGGAGAGGGGGGGAGAGAGAGAGAGAGAGAGAGAATCTTTCATCTGCTAGTTCACTCCACACATGCCTCCAATAGCCAGGACTGGGCCAAGCCAAAGCTAGGAGCCTAGAAGGATCTTCCAGGTGGGTGGCAGGGACCTAAGTACTTGAGCTATCATCTGCTGCCTCCTAATGATGCATTAGCAGGAGGCCGGACTGCAAGCAGAGAAACTGGGTCCTGAACCAGCACTCTGTTATGGGATAAGCCAAGCGGCAGCTTAAGCTGATGTGCCACAATGCCTGCCCTGGTATATTTCAATTTAAAAAAGTTCCATTATCTGTCATTTCTCCCTTGACCCTGCTATAGTGAGTTATAATAGCAAAATAAAAATTACTGCTATAATTATAAAATTAAGTAGTGACACCATTTTAATAGGGTAATCTTAGGTACTAGAAGTGGCCGGTTATCAAGAGAACACACTTGACAGTACCTTATCAAGGTTGGAAGCGTTTGGCATCAATGTGAGCCACTCCAGTTTCAAGTGCAGCTTTCCTTTTGGCACCTCGTCCAGCGTGAACCACTGAAGAGAAAATGTTTAAGTTCAGCAAAAGTTCTCCTGAATCAAAAATTCAAATCAAACCCCATCTCCACAAGATCACAAAGTATTCACTAATTGTGGTGCATTAGCTGTTCTCAATAACAAATGGCTGAATCTCGCCATGCATAGCTTTATGCTTTTTGAAGGTCTGATAATCTTATGTATGAGGATAATGACGACAGAGACCATAATAAATGCCTCAAAAATATCAACCCATTTAATCCCAACAAAACCCTGTGAAATAAGTACCATCACAATCTCTATTTTAATTTAAGGTTTGAAATGTTTTCTGGAACTCCCTAGTATTGGAGAAGCTGTCTACATATGGTTGTAAATGGAAGTTATAGGCCAAGAGATAATATAGCATTGATCCAAAATGCTGAATATCAATATCAAATTAGTATTTTTATCACTAGATACCAATTAATAAAATAGTGTTCAATTGTTTTAGCTTAAAAACCACAAAACAATCAAAGGTGGCTCCCAAATGCTCAGTGATTAAAAAAAAAGAGACTCCCATGAGGCAGGATTGTGTCTGTTCTGTCCAATGCTAGATACTCATAATGCTTTCCTTTTAGAAGCAGCAAAATGCCAACACTGATTAGGCTAATTGTGCTTCATTTATCTTACCCATCATTTAAAAGCTACCCCAAATGTTTCATTTTATATACTTCTCATTCAGGCAGAAATGCCCCTGCTTGAAGTATTGGCTGTTGGCTATCAATTACCACGGCATTTACTGACACCGTTCATTTGACAAGTCTCAGTGATGACACTGTGCCACCTCTTCTATTAGTTATCATTAATAATTCCATATTATCTAATTTCCATGGAAATTTCCATTTAGTGGGCCTTTTAAGCATCTCTAGCCTTACTCCTACATGGATCACTTTTGTCTGTAATAAAGTCAGTTTGATATTTTATATTCATAGGAATGTCTATGGTAGATACTCAATACACGCTATCTAATACAACTCTTAATTTCTTTTCATTTTGCCTGAATGAAAAGCCTACATTTTTAATGCTGGCAAGTCAAATTTGTTCACACAGTGTTAATTAGGATTCCTCTATTATGTGGGTGGGTGACAATGGTTGTTAATGACTCCTCTGGCACACAGTAGGTACTCAATGTTCATGAAATAGACCAATACTCGAAGAAAACTTACTTCATCTAAAAGGCGCTCCTTTTCAACTTCAATAAGATCAATCATAAGACTATAGAAATAACAATACAACAACTTTAGAACATAGAAACACACGTTCTTACTATTGAAAAATCCTTAAGCATTTGTCTATGAAAAAGGATTCCAGGAATGCAACAAAATGCTATGATTTATCAGGAGATAGACCATTCTTCCAGAAGCGCCCTCGGCCTCCAGCTTCTTATGGAGTGTTAAGAGAAAGAAGGAAAAGATCAGTGTCTGTGAGGTCGAAATACTGAGTTTGGCCCACTTAGGCTAGAACTATAAAAAAAAAAAAAAAAAAAAAAAAAAAAAACAACTAGCCTTCCCCACCATGTGGTATGCTTGACGAATATTTAAAGATCCTTCAGCCCTCTTATTTCACACATTCCCCCAGCACTGCCACCAACACGAGGACTCAGATTAGTCACGTGAGCAGTTATAAGTCATGTCTCGGGTTATAAACTCGTCCATCCTTTCTACTCTTGTTCCTGAGCTCTAGACCACATTAAATAAAGTCCATAGAAGACTCTCGCTTGGCACACTCAAGAGCAAGCTAATTCTATTTCCCCTAAAGCAATCCTGCTGTATGGCAAAGATGGTGACACCCCCACAGCAGCCAGAAGCAGCTGGAAATGATCATCCCCCTGCTTTTTCTTGTCAGCTCCCCTGCCCCTGCCCCTGCAGTCAGTGTACAGGCTCACATCTGGCCCATGACAACAGTCTGACTGCTCTGCTGGCCTTCAATCTCAGTCTCCAAGAATCCAATCCATACCCTTGTTTCACTAGCATGTACCTTGATCTCATCACTGTCCTCCTTAAAATCTCTCAATTGTTCTCTGTTGCCTATTTAAGTTTTATGAATGCAACATACAAGACCATTCTTGATGAGGCACAAACCTCTCCAGTGTCATCTAATCCCGTATCTTTTTTGGCCACAGTAAACTCTGTTAAATAATCACTAGTGAATGCATTAGGTACCGTATATTTTGAAAGCTAGTTTTTCCAGCTGTACTAGTTCAACTGAAGTCAGCAAACCAGCATTTGCTTTCTTGGTGTGTAGATACCACTTAAACTATCTCAACAAACTGAAAATGTTAACAAATATGCTTTTGCCATCTACAACAAAGCTGTTCACAAGAACTCTCTGCACAGGGTGCAGGTTTTATATGGAAAAATTGAGCAATTTTCGGGGCCAGCACAGGTTGACGCCCTGGCCTGCAGTGCTGGCATCCCATATGGGCACCGGTTCTGGTCCCGGCTGCTCCTCTTCCTATCCAGCTCTCTGCTATGGCCTGGGAAAGCAGTGGAAAATAGCCTAAGTCCTTGGGCTCCTGCACCCACATGGGAGACTGGGAGGAAGCTCCTGGCTCCTGGCTTCAGATTGGCTCAGCTCTGGCCGTTGCAGCCAGTTGGGGAGTGAACCATTGGATGGAAGACCTCTCTGTCTCTACCTCTCTCTGTAACTCTTTCAAGTAAGATAGGTCTTTAAAAAAAAAAAAAAAAAAAGATCCTTTAAAAAAATATTGAGCACTATAAATTAATAAAGGGTAACCATGAAAAATATTTTTAAATTTGCTGAATTGTAATTAACTCAAATACCTACCCATGACCAGAGGCTACCAGTGGGCAACATAGATGTAGAAAATTTCCTTCTCTTAAATGTGAAATTTTTTAGGAATAAAAATACTTTAAAGAAATCTAAGGTAAAACAAATGCTGTGTATCTATTAAAATATATATGTACATAAATATATCTATAAATTTTTAAGAATAATTATTAAAGAAAAAAAAATGAGATCCAATGTTCTCCAAGCAGCCAAAAAGAGTTCTATTTACCTTCCTAGAAAGTCATCCTTGTCTGGATCTTCATCAAAGAGCTCAATCTCTAATTCTTGTCCAGGATGTTCATATACTAAAGCCTGGAAAATTAAGGGTTAGTAGATATTGCATTCTTACTAACATAGCAACATACTAAGTCCGATGATTATAGTAAATACTACATGTATTTTATCTAGCTGAAAATAGTTTTTCAAGCACTTATATTTTGTTATTGTCAAATCATATCCTTTTGAGAGTTGGATCATTCTGAAATACGAGCCCCCACTGTAACAGTATCTTGTGTTTGTTTCCAGTTACCTGGGATTAAATCTCAATGGTTCAGGTTCAATCACTCTAAGTCAAGGTTACAGGAGGTCAACCTACAAGCCTGGTCCAAGGTTTGGAATAGATCATAGATGTAGGATCTATAACTCTAGTCCTGAAGTGGCTCCATTCAGATGCCGGGCTTGGGATAACTGTAAGTTATCCATTGTTCACCATTTAGAGAGTAAGAAATTGAGAAGGGACCAGATTGAAAGGAATAGAGAGTGGGAAGCTGGTGGAGTATAAAATACATACTGTTGTGACGAGTAATTCTACAAAAACATTTCAGGTCTTTAAAACTCCTAACTTTGATATAACAGTTCTATTCTGAGGAGCTTTATCTGGAGAAAACTTAGTCAAGTGCAGGAAAAATACATTCACATTGTACTTGTACAGCACTACTTATAATGCTGAGAATGGCCTAGGCCTCTCTAGATAGCTGAATGACAATATCCATTCAGTGAAATGGTTATGAAGAATCATGTAGAACTCTTATTGTCATAAAACATTTGCAGAACAGTACATAATTAATCCCATTTTTGTATATGTCTATGTGTTAACAACCACATGTAACATAATTAACACAAGCTATTTATAATATTAAAATATTTTGCCAATTATTTATTGTGATAGAATAATGCAATTAAGGTTTAAAATTGTATGTGTTAGCAACACAAGAATGTTGTAGGGTTGGAAAAGCAGGTATACTCTCTTTCAAAGATGCACAATGAAAGCAAGGAAAATTTGAATGATATCCTAAATTAGCCACACTTTCATGTGATAAGACTGGAATTAGATTTCAGATGCTCCACTCTGTGTCCAGTCCACTATGCCAAGAGCACAAGTGGACTCAACATCTTACCTCGTACACTTCGTTCCACTTTGGACTAAGGTTCTCTTTGATGACCTTGCTTTGGAAGATCTGGTTGCCAACTCGAATAATCCCATAGGGGTCTGATTTTCCCTTGACAAGTCCCTTAAGGTAAGTATCCTTCCCCTGAAGATCCTGAGCTTCAATAAAATGTATCCTTAGAACACCCTGAACAGAGGAATACACATTTAGATCATTCGTTAGTTTACTTAACAGAAATGGAAGTCAGCTATGTGGCTGATCCCATCCTAAGAACTGGGGCACAGAAACCCTCTTCTCACACAGTGTATACTCCAGCAATACAGTAGATGCGTAAAAGCCAGGTGACCAAAAAAAAAAAAAAAAAAAAAAGTAGGGCAGGGCGAGATGACAGTGCCACATGGGTCTGTTTTAGATAGTAGACATTTTGTTCTTTATTGTTGTAGAGACACCTCAACAGGGATGTGACAGAGGGACCAGACACCTGCATGTGGTTTCCCTGAGAGAGGGAACACTAAGGACAGAGGTCATGCTAGGGCACTGGGCTTATTCCAAGGAGGTTGATGATCCCGGATTCTAGTACCATAGTAAGCAATAATTAACACGAGAAGATCTATCATATCCATTACTAGATACTTGGTATGCAGTAGCTACACCACTTAATTTTTTAGAACAATCTTATAGAATGTCATTAAACTTACTTTCCAGAAAAAGAAACTAAAACTTTGAAATATTTTTTATAAATGTTGTTTTACTGATTAAGAAGAAGTATTCATTCACATTTCTTCCAAGGCAAACAAGGGTGGTTGACGTTACCTCTCAGAATGGTAGCATTCTGCACTTCACATGCTTCTTAGAAAGTTCCAGGGATATTCCCGACTGAATCGGCAATGAAGACATGCACCTCTACAGATGCACACGTTTTTAAAAATCTTCATGTTTGCATGTGTCTAAAGCTTAATGTGGCAACAGCTATTTTTTAAGCTTTACTTATTTATTTGAAAGGCAGAGTTAGAGAAAGGGATCAAGCTTCCATCCGTTGGTTTACTCCCCAAATGGTTGCAATGGGCAAGGCTGGGCCAGGCAGAAGCCAGGAGCTTCAAACGCCATCCAAGTCTCTCATGTGAGTAGCAAGGGCCCAAATACTGGGGCCTCTTTTGCTGCCTTCCCAGGTACATTAGCAAGGAGCTGGACTGGAAGCAGAGCAGCTAGGACTGGAACCAGGACTCGTACGGGTTGTGTGTCACGGGTTGCGGTCCCATCAGCTACACCACTATGACAATCGCAACATTTTCAGTAAGTTTGGCTTTACAATTTTTTTTTAAATCGACTTATTTTTTACTTTACTTGAAAGGCAGAGAGACACTGAGAACACTCATCTGCTGGTTCACTCCCCAAATGCCTTCTATAGACAGGGCTGGGCCAGGCCAAAGCCAGGAGCTTGGAACTCCATCTGATCTCTAACGTGGGCAGCGGGAACCCAAGTACCCAGATCATCATCCACTGGCTCCTAGCAAGAAGTGGAATTGAACGTAGAGAAGCTGGGACTCAAGCCAGGCCCTCTGGATGGATGCAGGTGTAGAGGGCTGCAGGGTCCCAAGCAGCATCTCAATCACTACTCAGTCCCAACACTGGTTTTTCAAACCCATGTAGTCAGGCTGAGCTCCGCTGTTCACTCCCACGTAGGGCACAAAAGGCTCAAGTGGCTCAAGTGGCAAAGGATCACGAGGATTTCGACATGTAAAAGGAAGTCTTTCCTTTTCAGAGGTGAGAATGATAAATTAAGGAAATAAGACGTTCCTTTCTAATATGCACATTAAATCTGTTGAATGCCAACAATATATTTAATCTGGGTACTGAATTAACTGGGTGCCTTTACTCTTAAAAACTGTAAGGGGCCAGTGTTGTGGTACAGTGGGTGAAGTTGCCCCCTGTGACACCAGCATCCCATATGGGTGCTGGTTCACATCCCAGCTGCCCCACTTCCAATCCAGCTCCCTGCTAATGGCCTGGAAGAAGCAGTGAAAGATGGCCCAAATGCTTGGGCCCCTGCTACCCATGTGGGAGACCTGGAAGAAGCTCCTGGTTTCTGGCTTCAGCCTGACCCAGTGCTGGCCATTATGAACATCTGGGGAGTGAACCAGCAGATGGAAGATTTCTCTCTCTCTCCCTCTCTCTAACTCTATTTCAAACATAAATGTTTTTCAAAAAAAACTATAAGGATGGGGGCCATTGTGGCACAGTGGGTTAAGACACTGCTTGCAACATTCACAGCCCATTTCAGAGCACTGGCTTGACTCCTGGCTATTCCGCTTCTGGTACAACTCCCTGCTAATGCGCTTGGGAAGGCAGCAGAGGATGGCTCAAGTGCTTGGGCTCCTGCCACCCGTGAGAGACCAGGATGGAGTTTCTGGTCCTTGGCTTCACCTGGCCCAGCCCTGGCTGTTGTGGCCTTCTGGGGAGTGAACCAGCAGATGGAAGGTCTCCCTCTCTCTCTGTAGCTCTGCCTTTCAGGTAAGTAAGTGAATAAACACACCTTTAAGCATATATACAAGGATGCTGAGGGGGCACTGGGTGCAGTGTTAGGGACATCATTTGAGAGACTTGCATCTTGGCTCCATTTCCAATTCCAACTTCCTGCAGACAACACCGTGGCCATCCTGCTGACCCGACTTCTGGAGTACAAAGTCCAAACACCCTACACAGATGTGGGAGCCAACACCCAGGTGGCTGAAAGCTCTCCCAACCTACCGGAGCTCACCCACTGCAACATCGTTTCCTTGCCGAGAAGAAGGAATCTGATGCTCCCGACTAGGGAGTCCTCACAATTTTTGAATGTAGTTATTTACTTTGCTCCGATGAAGGACACTTCAGTACTTCAGTCAGCTCTGTGCTATGTAACATCTCCATTTTACAGGTGAAGAAACTGAGGCCCGGCCATGCTAAACGACATGCCGACGGAAGTGAAGCTGCTGCCACACTTAAGGGCTGTGACTCAAATTAGGTTTGCTCTTTCCGTTTTACCTAGTCAGCTGTTATGTAAGTGTTTCTCCTGCTATGATACTCATTCAAATGACTCTACAGGAAAATCTATACAAACCATTACACAAAGTTCTTTTCAAAATCACCAGGAAACTGGCGCTTGTTACTGAGAGCTGTTAGATTGTAATAAAAACAAATGTAAATTGTGATTTCTGAGATAAGTCATCTGTACTGCTGACAGTCATTATTTATGACTCGCAATAACATATGCAGAATTAAATCCCTATTAGCACCCGTCAGGAACATGACTGAGGTGTGAGAACTCGCCGGAAGTCTCTGAGACAAGTTCCAGGATCTAAGAAGTGAGGCAGGACAAAGTATTCTTACTGTAACAAGACATGAGGCAAGTTTAGCTGTTAGGAGCAATACAGGAAGTGACAACACCTGATATAACATCCATTTGAAACACGTTTACTATCTGTTTTTAAACATTGCTGGATGCTAAGACATGCTTACCTTTGGTATAGGAAACCGTAACTGAGCTATTTGAACTTCACTGACAAGAGGAACAGTGATTCGATTAGGAAGCACCAGATAGTTTGATATGATATCCAAAATGATAGTATCTGATAAACCACTGGCAGTCGGGAGAGAAAAAGAACAATCAATCAAACATACCAACACTCCCTATCCCCTTTAACCACAAATGTAATGTGACACAATAACACAGTCACAGGGCAGGAGTTGTCTCAGTATAATTTCTCCAACAAGATGTTTAAATACAGTATTTCAGTACTTAAGCTGATATTTCTATAGTAACTGTGATGTAGAATTTAACGTCAGAACACAAAGTAGAAATCTAGCAACATTTTATAATTTCCTAAATAATACTTGTATATTCCTATATAATTTGATCATAGATTAATACTAAATAAGATGCCTCTCATTACATTTTTTAATATAAAATATTTCAAACATTCATAAAAGTACAGAGAATAAGACAACATTAATGAACCCATTCCATGTTTATAGACATGTTAAAATTTTCTCTATTGCTGTATACCGGCTCCCAGTGAAGTAGAATTTAGTGTACTCTCTCTCCACACATTATCAAATGCTTTCTTTGGGTATTAACTTTTGAAATTCTCCACACAACTACATGTAAACTCAGTAATATGGATAAAGTTGCTTAGACTAAAGGAACAAATGTACTTTTAACATATTTTCTGCCTAGTTTTTAGGATCAACGTGAAATGAAATAATGTCCATGTGGAAGCACTTTGGAAAGCGTGTCTTAGTGCGGGTGTCACTGCTCCAGAACACCTTCCCTGTGAAGTAAAGAACTTCTGAACTGCGTGAAGTCTTAAAAGAACCACATTTCGCGTCAGTACGTTTTAGATGCTAGAACTACTAACCTACAGAGAATAATGTCATCATCACTCAGTGAATAATTATTGAACCACACTGCAATACATGCAACAACAAGATGGAGTGCTTTGCTTTAAGGATCTTTCAGGTTAATATGGAAAGAGACCTTAACAAATCTTCAAAACACAAAGACACATCTGGCGCTGCTCTGTGCTTCCAAGGAGAGTCCAGCGGTACGAGCTTGCAGATACGGACAGGTAATCATGAAGGAAGTTATCAGCTGGTCCGCAGTTTTAATACCAAGCATTTTCTTGCTTCTGCTGTTCTCCCCTGGCCCTAAAATACTGGCTTTCTTTATACTGAAAAGTCTTTTGAAACCGCAGAGCTGTCTAGCTGACTGACACGTTTTGAAGAATCCTCTTGCTTGCTGCCCTGATACAGCATTGGTCACTGTGGGGTCACCTGTCGTCCTCGGCTCGTGTGTCCGTTAGAACCATTCCTGTTCATCGCCCTTCTGTTTCTGTCATGGTTCTCAGTGTTCCTTCTACCTTCAAAACTCAATCCAGAGTTCTTCTTTGAAACATGATAGCGCTATAGGGATGGCCAACATTTGTGTTATAGTGAAGTAACTCGAGCGTTTTCCTGCTTACTTGTGTAATATCCATGGTTCCTTTTTCTAAGCAATGAGTACAGCATGTGGTGCTCATTATAGAAAGCCTGGGACAAGATTTCATTACGTTAGCTTCATAGTGATTATTCATCTTTTAAGATAAAGCTTGTTATAGCTGCAATTCATCTGACAGAAAGTCTGAGAACTAGTGACCCTAATTTCAAGAACATATGAATATTTTATCATATAAACCTATATAAAATGTCATATATTATATAAAATTTGCATAATTATATATGAGGATGCTTCAAAAAGCTTGTGGAAAAAATGAAATTAAAAGATAAGGTTATTTTGATGCAGCAATTTGAAAGCCATGCATATAAGGCATCTTCAAAAGTTCATGTAAATTGTGTATTATGAAAAACCCTGCATATTTAAAAAAATTTTGCACAAAAATAAATTTCTCAATTCAATTTTCCAACTTTTTGAAGTACTCTCACATAAATTATACATAGAATATAAATAAATTTTAAAGAGATAGCTTTACGTTTTCTTTTTATATCAGAGATTGCTTAATTCTGAATGGTATATGTGCATCTCTCTTTATAATGTATATTAAGTATATATAACCATATATTTTTATTTTAATGATATGATTCTGTATATGTGGAATATATAGGAATATACATTTTTATGTATCATATATATAAGACTATAAAACAGTAGGAGCTACTACTGTATACAGAACCTACTTACATGTAAATTATTAAATAAAATGGAGCTATATATGTGTGTGTGTATTTGTACAGCCCTATTTAAATATAATAACTTGGGGCCGGCGCCACGGCTCACTAGGCTAATCCTCCACCCTGCGGCGCTGGCACACCGGGTTCTAGTCTTGGTCGGGGTGCCGGATTCTGTCCCGGTTGCCCCTCTTCCAGGCCAGCTCTCTGCTGTGGCCAGGGAGTGCAGTGGAGGATGGCTCAAGTTCTTGGGCTCTGCACCCCATGGGAGACCAGGATAAGTACCTGGCTCCTGCCATCGGATCAGCGCGGTGCACCAGCCGCAGCGTGCCGGCCGCGGCGGCCATTGGAGGGTGAACCAACGGCAAAGGAAGACCTTTCTCTCTGTCTCTCTCTCTCTCACTGTCCATTCTGCCTGTCAAAAAAATAAATAAATAAATAAAAAATTAAATATAATAACTTGGGATGGCCTTCCCCAAACTGTAGTCTTGCCAGAGGCAGAATGCACTGTGTTTGATGCTACCTTTTCAGGTAGCTAATACAATATAACTTACAGTGCAAATGCTCAGTCACCCATGCTCTATTTCAGTCCTCCCAGGTACTGAAGGGAGGCAAAGCAGAATGGAAACTCTCCCCACCAACTCCCAAAGATGTCTTATTTATTATGAAAGTCAGAGTTACAGGGAGCAGTGGAGACACAAAGTGAGAAAGAGATCCTCCATCCGCTGGTTCACTCCCCAGATGGCCACACAGCTGAAGCCAAGAGCCAGGAGCTTCCTTTAGGTCTTCCACATGGGTGCAGGGGCCCAAGCACTTGGGCAGCTTCAGCTGCTTTTTCCAGGCCATTAGCATGGAGCTGGATCAGAAGTGACATCGCAGGTGGTAGCTTTACCCACTACGCCACAATGCTGGCCCCAAACTTTCTTTTCTATGCTTAAGTGTGTGCAGACTTGTTTCACTTGGGTGAGCAGCATCCATTTCCCCAGTTCCTAGTGAAAATTTCTCCTTTGGGAGACACCCCAATTCATTGTTTTTGTTTTTGTTTTTCCATGCAAGTGACCCATTTCTCTGCTTTCTCCAGGACAAGGGTGGGAATCTTTTTTTCTGCCAAGGGCCATTTGGTTATTTATAACATCATTCACAGGCCCTACAAAATTATCAAATTAAAAATTAGCTTGCTATAGATGTATTGAATTTCAAATCCTGCCTGTGGTTGCCTTGACAGGGCCAGACCAAATGGACTGGACATTCCCCCGGCCCCGTTTTAGGGGTACACAAAGACCCAAGGGGGATCACAAGAATCCAAGGAATCTGACCAAGGATGGGTGGACACACACAAGGTAACTCTGGAACTGCTGCTGGCACTGCTGGAAAAGGGTCTTGCTCGACCACAGCGGCTAAGTTTGCAGAACAGAAGATGCTAGCAACTGCTACTTCACAGCAAGAGCCAGTCTGAAAGCGAAGCCAAGTGGAGACTCAACTCTGCTTGAGTCAAGCGCTGGATACAGAGCCATTACAGCATGACTTGGCATCAACACCCAACTATGCATGAAATCCCTCAAAGATCCCTCAAAGAACATTCCAGCTTTTAGTTACATGCAGGAAGCAAGCCACCAGAAGGTGAGATCATGACAGCAGCCACGTGACTGTTCCTTTCTGTTCACGGCTGTATCCGAGCACTAAGAGCAGCTGGCTCAGAGCAGGCGCTTAATGCCTCATTGTTGGGTAGGTGGCTAAACTGTCTTCAAAAAATTATTTATTTACTTTTACCACTCAAACACCATTTGAGCTAGGTTTGTTGGTTGCAACCAAGAATCCTAAAGAATACTCTAACAAATCCTTCAAAGTCACATCTTTTTTCCCAGAGATCTTTTAAAGGTAACAGTACTTTTCTGTATCCAGTAAATAACAGTACCTAAAAAAGACTTTTATTATGACTATGCCTCAGATTGTTCAAGTTCTAATTTTTCCTTATAATGAAAGAAAATTCTAATGGCCATTGCAGAGGCATAAACGAAAACTCAGGAATAGGAAAAAAAAATAGCTTGAAACCAAGCTCTCATAATTTAATACCAAGCTATTTTAGGAGGAAAATCCACTATAACATATGTCACTTTTACCTAAAAAGTAATGCATTCTTTCACAAGTGAGTTTAACCTATAATAAAACTTCCCATTTGGAAATAACAGGTCTGCCCAAAGCAGTCACCATGCACAAGTTCTTGTTCTTTCCTTCCTTCTCTGCTTTTCCTTTGGGTACATGGTATTTTTTACTTGTGGAGGTTGTGTTGCGTTTGCTTGGGTACATCGTCTGTTATCCAAATCTCTGACTCTGTACAGGACTCAGGCTGCGGCCTTCAGGGATGAGCACACAGAATAACTGTTATGGGGAGCTGAGGACAAGGCAAGATGATCTGGAGATTCAGCACTGCTATGATCTGGTCTCGATCGATGTGAAGAGTCAGTCTGCTGTTAACATTATCTGACAAAGGAAATGAACATGCCAAGGTCTTGCATCCAGCATGATCTATGCATTATTTTTTTTTTTTCCAGGAGCAGGCGTATCCATTCCTCTTTTTCTTCTTCGTAGTTGGTGGACACAGGACTTTGAATTTGCTGTTGGGAGGAAATGAACTGAGGCTCGGCAGGGATACTTCCTGAAGGCCACACGGCACATGAGATAGAGCCAGAACGAGGACCCGCATCTTCTAAGATAGGTGGTATGGAGAAGCCTGAGAGGAGGGGGGTCTGCAGGTGGGTTACTGTGTGTGCTCACTCTCTGGTCAGGCCTCGAACTGTTGGCCTGGGACAGGGGTTCTGTCCTGGGCAGAGACAACTGAGGCTACTTGGAGTCAACAGTTCTTCTGTTCTTCTGTACAGCCTAAAGTCACCAGTGACGTGCTTATTAGTCTGAGAAGACAAGCAGAGAGACGCTGTCCCTTCTGCTGCTAAAGGGGAGAAGAGAGGAGACATTCTCCAGGCTTTCCTCACAGGAGAAACTGATGGGGGCAGGTGGGTGGATGGGAAGGCACTGGCCCACACATCTGATGCTGGATGTCACCCACCCAGCACAGATCCACCTCCCTCAGAGGAGGGATTATCCTTCATGGTCTCAGATGCTTGTTTTAGGACATTTTTCTTACCTTTTAGATACTAGATTGCTACAGAATTCTGCAAAGACCGAGCACACTGACCTGACACTTACTCCTTTCAAGGCAGAAGAAGGAAGGTAACAAAAGCCACAAGGGGAAGGGTATCCATGGCTTGGACAGCATGGAAAGGCTGGTTTGCAGTATACACATATTTTCAAAGTTTTCTTTATTGTTTAAGGGGAAACAATAAGAACTAAATTTAAAAATTAATTTATTGAATATTAAAAGGTTTCTGCTTTTCTAACACACCAGGACTGTGAAGAAGCCTTGCAATGAAAAAAAAGGAAATAAAGGGTAACTCAGTCTAAAGCACTCCTAAAATCATCATAGTTTAGCTCATTTGGACGCAAGTAGTTTTTTCAAATGTGGTTATGAGAACAAAATCCAAATATGCTGTCTCTGTTCCTTGTTCTGTGACAGTCTGGCCTAATTCTACCTGGCAGACATGTGTCTAAATGATTCTCGTGTTATTTTATGACACTAAAAATGTGCATTACAGCATCAACAAGCTAACTGTAATAGGACCCCGCAAAAAACTTACTTTAATCCAGGGATATCCAGAAGATTAGTCAGTCCTGTCCAGTTAATTTCTAAAAGCTGTTTTTAAAAAAGGGCAAAATATTAAATATCCAAATCACTTCCAGTCATCAAATCAAATGCACACAAGTTTGTTTCTTTCTAAACAAAAAGAGTTCATACACAATACTGTCCTAGTCTTTCTTCCTCCACTTTGTTATATGTTGAGGACGTCTTTCCTGGTTGGTACATGCAGACCTGCTTCTGCTTTTGGTTTTCTCTAGTAAAATCATACAGTAACTTATTAACCTGTCTTTCCACAGATGTATCCTCACAGTATTTACAACTTCTCTTTTATTATGAATAATGACTTGTCTGTACATACAAGCTCTTATAGATAAATGCATACTAGCAATCAAAAATGGGATATTTGGTTAAAGAATTATGTTTATTTTTAATATTGATATATAGCATTTAACTGCCTTCCAAAAACATTATGACAATTTACATTCCACCAAAAGTGTGTCATTTTTCCATATTTTCACCAAAAGCAGATATTGAAAATTAGTCCATCTGGCTATGAAAAAATGGTAATTTATCACTGTTTTAATTTGCATTTTCCAATTAGCGGAACATGTTCTGCCCATTCATTTGACATTTATATCTATTTGTCTAAGAATAATCTCTACACAGTTAGCTTAAATTCTATTAAATGGATGTAGACCAGTTAAAATTACTGACTGGAAATATAAGTACTGCTTTTCCTATCAAAATGGGCATCACAAATAATAAAATTCCTTGTGTTTTATATTTGTATAAGAAATACTACATTAAACTGACCTCAATTATCAACACAGTTAGAGCAACAGAAGTGTCCAAATCCCTTTTGGGAGTAAGTGGTTATAAATAAATATGAACTGTGAGAGTCAAGATTCTTAAGGATAGAACAAAACTAAAAACAGAAACAAATTTTTCAAAATCCTGAAAGACTGTGACTTTTCAGTATAAGAGAAATGAGATACAAATATAAAAAATGGGAAGAAAAAAATGGGTAATCTTTTTTAATTGTGAATTTTTTTAAAGATTTATTTTATTTATTTGAAAGGTAGAATTACAGAGAGAGGTGGACAAAGAGGGTTTTGTTCTGCTGGTTCACTCCTCAAATAGCCACAATGACTGGGACTGGGCCAGGCCAACGCCAGGAACCAGGAGCTCCTACTGGGTCTCCCACGTGGGTGCAGGGGTCCAAGCACTAGGTCATGTTCAGATACTTTCCCAGGTCATTAGCAGGGAGTTGGATTGGAAGAGGAGTAGCTGGGATTCAAACTGGTATACATATGGGGTACTGGCGCTATAGGCCAGGCTTTTAACTCAGTGAGCCACAGCACCAGCCCTGGTAATTAATCTTAAATTTGTGTTGTAAATATCAATATGAACTATTCTTTTTCCCTTTTCTTTAACAGAAATGTCTATCCTGGGTCTGTCTACCATTTTTGTTTTTGTTTGTTTGTTTAAAATTTATTTTTTTTTAACTTTTATTTAATAAATATAAATTTCCAAAGTACAGCTTTTGGATACCTGAAAGGCATAGTTACAGAGAGAGACAAAGAGACAGAGAGAGATCTTCCATCCACTGGTTTGCTTCCCAAATGGCTGTAATGGCCTGGGTTGGGCAGGCCCAGGCCAGGAGCCTAAAATTCGATATGGGTCTCCTGTGTGGCAGGGGCCCAAGCACTTGGGCCATCTTCCACTGCGTTCCCAGGCACATTAGCAGGGAGCTGGATCAGAAGCAGAATAGGTGGGACTCAAACAGGTGCTCACATGGGATGCCAACCTTGATAGGCAAGAACTTCACCTGCTGTGCCACAATGCCAGTCCCTGACAGTTATAAATAGGAATATAAAATTAAGTGAAACACTGGATATTCCAATGTATGTGGCTGAGCATATATTTTATATCATATGGATAAACTGATAAACACTGGGATTTAGAGGCTGACTGCCCTTTCTTTTCTCTTACACCACTAGGCCAGAGACTCTTTTCAGAACTTAGAAAGGAACAGACACTCCCACCACAACAAAGTATTCTTATCTTACAAAAACACCTATATATCAGGAATCTTTCACATTAAAGACAGCACTGTAACAGGATTTTATAAATTAGCATGGAAGGTTCTTTCCTTCCTTTTTTTTTTTCTTCTTAATATTTACCTATCTATTTATTTGAGGGATAGAAAAAACAAACGACCTGTACCATTCACTGGTTCACTGCCCAAATGCCCACAATGGCTGGGGCTGGGCCAGGCTGAAGCTGGGAGTCAGGAATTGGATCCGGGTCTCCCCAGTGGTAGCGAGAACCCAATTATCTGAATCATCACTGTTGCTTCCTAGGGTTTGCATTGCAGGAAACTGGGTCAGGAGCTGGAACTGGTTAGGGTACCCAGGAACTCTAACGTGGGATGCAGGCCTCTTAGCTGCTAGGCTAACCACCTGCCCCTGAAGGTTCTGTCTCTTGATCACAAATGTACTTCAGGAAAGAAGAACGTGTCAGAGATACAGTGTGAAGTTTCGCATGTGACTTGAGTTAACGTGCAAGCACTCCACATGCTATTACATCAAAAGACACCTAAGCTTCGCCATCTGCAGGACTATGAGACAGAAAAGCCAAACAAATTCCAGGGAAGGGACACGCGTTAGGGAAGGAGACAGGAAGCTTCTCAGTAAAATTAGGTGAGGCCGCTATAGCCATGAGGACAATGAAGGGGATGAAATTCAAAGGTGCAGCTTAATGAAGAGTTTTCCTATAAATACACTTTCATTCTAAGCATCCTGCTTTTTACTTGTTGAATATTATGGTTAGTGGTGCATTAAGCCTGTGATTATAAGTGGATTGAAATAATGCTTTTGCAAAAATCAAAGAAGGAAAAGAAAGGAAGTAAGGAGACGGGATTGTGGGAGGGAGCCAGGGAAGTATGGTTGTCTTACAAGTGCACCTATAAAATCTGTTCTTATATTAATAAATTTTTTAAAAAACACAGTATTCATATTTTATACTTTTATGTCACAGTCTTGTCACCTTAAACATCTTCAGTGTAGTCTCAATGATTTTTTTAAAAATATTTACTTATTTATTTGGAAGCAGAGCATCTGAAGGAGCGGGAATTAGAGAGGGGAGGGAGAGAAGACTTCCAGACTGAAGCCAGGAGCTCCATCTAGGTCTCCCAGGTTGGGCAGGGACTCGGGTGCTTGGGCCATCATCTGCTGATTTCCAAGAGTATTAGCAGGGAGCTGGATCAGCCAGGACTCAAACTGGCCCTCTGCTTTGGGATGTCAGCGTCCCAAGTAGAGGCTTAACCCATGGTACCACATGCCAGCCCCTAGTCTTAATACCTTTAAGGTAGAGCTGTTTTATCCTGGCAGCTTCTGGAAACAGAATTAACAATTCTTTTAATAGTGTTTGTTAATGCAGTCGTCTTTCAGAAAGAGCAGAATGCAGAAGACTCGAAACTGGTGTTAGAATGAGATTTTACTATGGTTCCAAGTAGCTCCGAGGTATTTTTGGACTTGTTAAAATACTTGGTGAGACAGGACTGACTTTAGAAAAGCCAGTGTAAAGCTAATTTTAGTTGGTGTTTTTGGACCTCTTAAAATACTCCTGTGAAACAGGGACTGGCTTTGGTTGAGAAGCTTTGACTGCCCAGTGAATTGAACTATAAATAAAAATGCAAAAAGCAAAAATTGGCCAAATGGAACGAGTCACAAGTTATCAAACAAAAAACATGTATGAAGTGACAGAAGGAAACAACAAAGGACTCTTTTCACTGTCCTATTTTCTATAATGCCACACGCTCCACACGATTATTCCGTGCAGTAATCTGAAAGCCGCTCTGATTACCAACATGACATCCTGCTTGTCTGACCAAAATTATAAGGAAAGAAATGTCTAATCACACTGAATCATCAGCTTTTTCTCCAGATGTGTCACTGGTCCTAAGTTAGACTGGGACTGGCAGGGAGTACAAGATATACCCACAGCTCAAGCACGAGGCTCACTACCATTTTTTTAAAAAAATTGGTCATTTCAAAAATAATTAGTTATTTGTTTTCACCTTCTTTGAAAGACTGGGAGACAGAAAGAGAGACAGAAAGACAGAGAGAGACACAGGGACAGACAGAAATCTTCCATTAGTTGGTTCATCTCCCAAATAACAGCAGTGGCGAGAGCTGGGTCAGGCCGGAACCAGGAGTCCAAAACTCTACTGCAGCCCCCCACGTGGGTAGTAAGAATCCAACCACTCGACGCATTTCCTGTTGCTCTTCATTAGGAAGCTGGAGTTGGAAGCTGGGCTGAGACTTGAACCCCTGCACCTTGGTATCAGATGGGGCCATCCCAAGCAGTGTCTTAACCACTGTGCCAAAAGCCTGCCTCAGAAACCTGCTTTCTTACCTCATGTACAATAGTGCTATATAGAACTGACATCATTAAGTATGACCTGGCTGGTCTACACCTTTCCATTTTGGTTAAAAACATGTTTCAGTTTGAACAAACAAGAAGTGTCTTTACCAACTGGTACTGTGGAGCCTGCCACTGCATGAAGATTTTAAACACCTGATATGGCACTGACATGGAATATTCTGCTAGAACTTTAAATGATAAAAACTGCTCAAAGCTGGCAAGTCAGATCTCCACAAACGAGCAGCAGTAATGCTGATTGCTTTTTTCTTTTCTATTAGAGAGGCAGGCAGAGATGGGGGGCACTTTTGGGCGTGGGGGTAGGGGATGCCTCCACTGGTTCACTCTCCAAATGCCCTGAACAGCAGGGGTTGGACCAGGGAACTGGGAATTCCATCTAGGTCTCCGTCTTAGATGGGAAGGACCCAGCTCCCGAGCCATCGTCACCTGCGGCCTCCCAGTGCTTTAGAAGGGAGCGGCAATCAGCAGCAAAGCAGGACTTTGCAGTGTGGGATGCAGCTGTCCCAAGCAACATCCTTGCCACCAGGCCAAACACTTGTTCCCGAAAATCTGCACAAATAGGTAGTAATTCTGTTCTTGTGGGCTTAACACCCAGAAAAAAAAAAATC